TATATATATTGTGTATCTTTTTTATCATCATCTTTGATTCTATTTTATCTTTATTATTGCTATTATCTATATACAGATTTGAATGTGTGGAAATTTAAATTTCAATTGTTATTATTATATCTTGTGAGTTTAGGATATATCCTATATTAAAGATTACTACTACCACACATAATGGTATATTTATGTGTGACACAATTTTCAGGTCCAGACGCTGTCAGAAACTGTCAATTATTTCGGTATGACGATTTCCCCGAATTCTTCAATTTGTTAATGAAGATTTTATTAGGCGCGTTCATCGCTTTTTTTATGGAGTTCAGTGAAGTCACTGTAGTAACGTACACTTCCAGCCTAACTTTAGCTATCGCAGGCATATTCAAGGTACGACGAAAATCATACAATTGTTTGCACCCCCACAGAATTCAACCTTTTCATATTTTCAGGAAGTGGTCCAACTGGTGTTAGCCGTTCAGTGGAACGGCGACGAACTGTCCCCCCTCAACGTGGTGGGCCTGACTGTCTGCATGTGCGGAATCTCTTTCCACGTTATACATAAAATCAGGACCCAACCTTCAAGGACGCCGAAACGATCCTACGAAGTGGAGAACGAACACCACGAAATAGGAGAATACTTGATTAATGAAAATGTACAGTTATCTAGCGAGAGCGATGCGGAGAAAAGTGACACTGAAATATTATTTGATATACTGAATAGGCACGAGAGGTAGTATTTCATGAGAATCATGTAAAGAAATAAGTATTTTTACCGACTTTAAAAGTTAAGAAAAAAAAATCTATGTTTTATAAATTAATTGGCACTACTATAGAGAACGCGACAGAGGGCAATAGTCTACTGGGCAAGAGTTTAATGTCTCCAATGAGACATGTGATTAAATCCGAATTAGGCGCAAAGTATTTTATTTACTGTACTGCACAAGCTAATACTTTTCCAATCTAAAGAAATGAACTATGAACGTTCAAGCCAGTCTCGGATATACCTACACAGTAGGTTGAATGGACTGACACCTATCAGAAAATAACTACTCCCTTGGCTAATACCACGAAGGGCGTTGGATTATATCCGACAGGCGTCAGTGCAGGAATCTTCACAGAAAATTTCCTGCATATGCAATTGGCAATACAACTGAAAGAGTCGACCTTCAATTTTGGAATGGACAGACCGGTTTCGGGCTCATTAGCCACTCATCAGTGCAAGATAGTGGCCATCATCGACCTAAAGTCAACGATATTCCATAATTGGAAATCGAAATGGGGAATGTTCCTCCTGACGAAAATCAAGTAGTTTTCATAAAAGAGCTCTAAAACGACGCATTTTAAACTTATCATTTCAACCTTTTTCTTTAAAAAATAATTTAAATACTTAAAAAAGAGGAATTAAATAATGTATTCAACATATAAAGGGGATTCGTTTCTATTTCACCATTTGGCAACATCGGGTATAGCTAATAAAGGACAATGAATCTGTTACCTGTATGAGACAAACAAATATGACATTTCAGAGGCGTGCTGTTCTGTTTACTTATGTTCCGAGTTCCGAGACATTCTGTGACATAAGACATTTTGTGCACCTAACCTATCTTCCTCTATATAAATAAATAACAAAACAACTGTTGTTTATGTGGCTTGTGGAGGTGGTATTGAACTATAATTTATATTTTGCCTTAATTGTTGATTTATAAAGATGAGTTTCCTGTTTTAGAGTAGAATATCTAGGTAACCTGAACTTCGATCTAACATTCTAGACGCTGTTGCCAATATGTGAATTAGAAACAAATCCCTTTAAAAATTAGAACCCAACATTTGAAACATCAATTTGAATACTTTTCGAAGTGAATTTGATAAACTCACGAATTAAACACAACCTTAATTTTGTTCAAACTTGCATTTGCTGTAATAACCCAAATTAAGGAACATTCTCCATTCTTTCAGAGCATTTCATTCCTCTTCCTAAGTTGGAGCGAACAACAAAATGTCACTCCATCTAGTGCACGAGGTACTAACCAACTGCATATCCGAAATTTGCCCGATTCCTCTGAATAAGGAAGAAAAACTTTCTTATTAGTCAAATTACTCATAAGTAAAATATAAAATCGCCTTTTGTGAAAAAAGCAGAAGAGATAGGTATAGGGAACCCTAATATAGTTTTAAAGAGAATCTACTCATGCGTCAAATTACGCCACTGAATACGGGGTGTTTCATTCAACTTTAAGAAGTTATTTAATGGGGAATGTTCCTCAATTGGGTTATTACAGCAAATGGAAGTTTGAACAAAATAAAGTGGAATTTAATTCATGAGTTTTTCAAATTCACTTCGAAAAGTATTCAAATTGATGTTTCAAATGTTGGGTTTTAATTTTTGAAGGGATTTGTTTCGAATTCACATATTGGCAACAGCGCCTATATCAAGTTGAAATAATTTATACGTACCTAGATATTCTACTTTAAAACAATATAATTATCTTTATAAATCAACAATTAAGGCAAAAACTAAATTATAGTTCAATACCACCTCCACAAGCCACATAAACAACAGTTGTTTTGTTATTTATTTATATAAAGGAAGATATGTTAGGTGCACAAAATGTGATGTCACAGAATGTCTCGGAACTCAGAACATAAGTAAACAGAACAGCACGCCTCTGAAATATGTCATCTTTGTTTGTCTCATACAAAAGATTCAGTGTCCTTTATTAGCTACAACCGATGTTGCCAAATGGTGAAATAGAAACGAATCCCTTTATATGTTGAATGCATTATTTCATTCCTCTTTTTTAAGTATTTGAAAGATTTTTTAAAGAAGAAGGTTGAAATGATAAGTTTAAAATGCGTTGTTTTGGAGCTCTTTTATGAAAACTACTTGATTTTTGTCAGGAGGAACATTCCCCATAAAATGTGTGTCCAAATTTGGAGGCAATTTTTTTCGCCACTAGGAATAAAGTTAACTACCACATGAAAATTTCATGTGGTAGTTAACTTTAACCTTTGAGCTAAGCAGTACATTTAATCACGAGCAGCTCGTTATAGGGTGAAAACAATTGTTAAATTATGGTCTGTATTTATAAATTTCTCAGAAAAGGTCAGTTTTAAGTATGGAAAATGTAATAGTAACTCACCTTTATTTTGTCTATAGTATCTAAAAATATAAAAAAAGATAGGGTGTTCCATAAGAAAAAATATAACTTTGGTATGTAACTTTTTTAGAGGTCACCCTGTATATTCCAAAATAATTTTGGAATATGCTCCTCATGGACCCACATATACCTGTGCTGGAAGTTTTTCCCTAACTCTCTCAATTTCTCGTAGAAATACCGAGGCGAATGTGGTGGGCCACCCTGTATATAATGACTTACACAAATTCAACTGAAAGAAATTGACATAAATAAAGTCTAGCTACCTGTACCTAACAATGCAGTAATCAGATCAATTAATTTAACCAGGAAAGAATCCAGGGCCAACGTCGATGAATTCGACAAAATAGAAAATACTGTGATGTTATTCTGGTTTACAATATGTAATTATGAGAAACACCTCACTTTATTCTTTGAAGTCAATATCCGATGAAGAGTATTTGAAATGCTCATTCAACTAATTGAAAAAAATCTCTCATATATACCGAAGGGGTTGAGGACACTTAGAAATTTCTTGGCGCCCAACGTGGGGCTCGGTTTACCGAGAGGTTCAAACTTATGTCAGTGGAAATATGTAACTACATCAAGTGAGCTCTTTTTAATGACCAATAATTGAATGTTGTATATAAAAGATGAGAAATATATTAGGAATTTTCGCTATATGAAACTTAAGTTTATCAGTATATCGGTTCTACGAGACTACTTTATCTTTTTGTTGATTTTTTGTTTGTTCATTTTATTTTATAATAGAATATACGATGGGTTCAAATGAAATTTTGAATAAGTCGAGTGCTGGCTCAGAATGCTTCTCTTTGTATATATATAACTTGTACATACAATCGTACTGTCGTCTATTGCAAAAAACATTGTTTTAGAGTACTGTAATAATAAAGTTCGTGGATTCCATCCATTCCAACTAATTGAACTGATAATTCTTGGGGAACTGATGGTGTAAGCTTAGCAAATATGTATTGTAAGATATGTTTTGAAACTACGAAATATTTGTACATGTGATACTTAATAGTAATATAACTGAGAGTAAACGTATTGAATTTATTTTATGCTGTGTTCATGTAGATGTGGAAGTTCATATACTTGTATAGCAGTTCAGGTAAAGACATCTCTGTATTACAATCGATTCAAAACAGTTTCATTTCTAGGTCCAGAAGTTGATTTTTGATAATTCACCTAACCATCATTTTTCAAATCACACGTTATCAAGCCAAAAAATTATACAGAGCTATTCGAATTCGTTTCTGTACATGGGGATCTCGTAAACGATAAGAGATAGAGTGTCGGTTAAATTGTGGCAAAGTTGCGTATTTTAGAGACTTATTCAATGATGTAAAGAAATCGAATATAGCTCTTTTGGTTCTGGAGATATACAGGCCTTTATGTTCTTTATTCGCAGATATATTGAAAATCTGTCCGCATTTTGCTATTGGCACTTGATGTGGGCTCTCAGAATATGTCCATGAATATTTTATACAGGGTGTCATCTGACTTGGGCCACGTCCATCTTTGAATTTTTAAATACGGACCTGTATTTTTTGTTGTAGTTTTTGGATCTTAGACGTTCACTTCATACTGAGAAATTAAATTAAATTTAATATTTCGAGATGTTTCGGTAATATTTGATTATAATTGTGTGAATTATTGCCTTTTAAATTAAGGCCCTGGAAATTGGTTGACTGGTTTGAATAAAAACATAATAGCAACTTTCACGTCCTCCCTATGTAGGTATCGTAGAGTTTTTTGAGAGTTTTTCATTTTTAGGTACCTATTCAAATTTTTCCATTGCTCTGAGCGTTTTCTACAATGAACTTTGAATAAGAAAACCTTTTATGATTATTTGAAACATATCTACATCAAAAATATATTATATGTGTTTTAATAAGCAGAAAAAGAAATGATAGCAATAATAACATCCGAAACGAACACTATAATTGTAATGAAGTAATTTATATAGGTGCCCAAAAAAATTATTGGCGCAATAAATGTTCGAATTGGAGTCCTTCCATTTCGAGCGTTTTTAAAATCAGTTTTTCATATTATTTATTGCCCTCAACTCTTTCAGGGGCAGTGGTATAAAATTTAGCCACAAAAAATGTGACTGTTTTTGGGCAGTGGTACAGTAAATAGACCACCTTTTCAAATATTCATTTCTTGGAGGGCAGCGGTTGGCAGATGTTGTTTCACCGTACTTTCATGTGTATACTCATACATAGATGGCGCTGGACGTTGTAGAAAGTGATACAAATGTGAAGAACCGCGGTAGTTCGTGTACAAACGGATCTGTTATTTGAAAACACGGTGTATTTTGATTTTGTTGAGTTTTCTCAAGCAGAAATAAGAAAGAATTATCATTCTGAGGTAGGATATCTTTACTTTGTTTTTAATACTTAATATTGTTGAAATCTATTTTTACTCAATCAGTAGTTTGATAGGCACAATTTGATCCCCTGATCCCACTGAATGGCCAGCGAGGTCACCAGATTTAAATCCTTTGGATTATTTTCTGTGGGGCCATCTGAAGAATGTTATTTATAAAACGAAACCAGCAAATATTGAAGATGTACAAGTGAAAATTCGAACAGAAATAAACAATATTACGCAAGAGACCATACACAAGGTTCAACAAGAATTTGTACACCGTTTGGGTTACTGTCAAATACAGCAAGGGCTGCAGTTCGAACATTTAATATAAAGTCATGTATTCCAGCATATTCTGTCCGCTAGACAATAAGTATTTTTGATAATATTGTTAATTTACCTAATAAAGAATGTTATGCGTTACTTTATTAGCACACACACAACTACTGTATTTTTGTCCACCCTGAACCAATTGGAATCAACATGTGATAGATTTTTGGAATCAGCTCAGCTAGAGTAACCCGAAAATGGGGGTGTTCCATTTAAAAAAAATGACGGTGACGTCATTACTCGAACGTAATTCATCCTGTATATTAGATTATTATTTTACAATACGGTAAATTAACATCAAAAACGTGTTTCAGGATTATTTCTTGAAATGACCTGTTTAGCTAAAAATGAATTTGTTCCATACTTTACGAACCTGTATATTTTTGTTGCAGATATGTTTCAGATAATCATAAAAGGTTTTCTTATTCGAAGTTCATTGTAGAAAACGCTCAGAGCAATGGAAAAAATATGAATAAGTACCTAAAAATGAAAAAAAAACTCTATGGTACATAGGGAGACGTGAAAGTTGCTATTGTGTTTTTATTCAACTGCAGGGCCGTAATTTAAAAGGGAATAATTCACACAATTATAACGTAGTTATAATTGTGTGATTGTTGTAGTTTTTGGATCTACGATACAAAAACTACAACAAAAAGTACAGGTCCGTATTCAAAAATTCAAAGATGGAGGTGGCCCAAGTCAGATGACATCCTGTATAAAAGATTCATGGATATATTTTGAGAGCCCACATCAAGTACCAATAGCAAAATGTGGACAGATTTTCAATATGTTTGCGAATAAAGAATATATAGGCAAAAAAATAATTTGTGATTTTTTGATTTTCTCTGTATTTCTCCAAAACCAAAAGAGCTATATTCGATTTCTTCACATCAATGAATAGGTCTCTAAAATACGCAACTTTGCCCCAATTTAACCGACACTCTATCTCTTATTTTATGAGATCCCCATGTACAGAAACGAATTTGAATAGCCCTGTATAAAAACAGTGGAAAAACTAACACTTAGGACAAGTTCAGTTTAGGACTTTTATACTGCCAACATCTTTTTCGGTCCTAATGAATATCAGCCTGGGTTTGGCGGGAAAAATAAGAAGATAACAATTTATATACATTTATTAGAAGTGTTAAAATCTATAAATAAATAAAGTCTATTCTAAAAATATACGCATTTTTTTCTTTGCAGTTTCAGCTCGAGTGATATTTTAAAAGTGGGAACTAGAGTCAATATCAAAACTGTCCCACGTTTCAAAAAAAATTTAAACGATTGAAATTCAAAATGAGTTCAAATTGTCTTTTTTTTTTAAGGAAACTGAGATCTACGGTATAATTATTCGATGAAAGACAGCAATGACAATCTAATATGATCTAAGTAAGACATGAAAAACCTACCCCTTCACTATCGGGAGCAACTATGTTCCTGCTTATTACTGCGACTGATATTGAATCGATAGGAAATCGACCAGAAAATAATTAGGTATTCATTGCTACCAGGAATGCAGTTGCAAATATTTGCATAATTCTGAAGAAACGAATGTGTTTTCCAAATTTATTTTAAAAATAGAGATTTTTTCACAAAAAATTCACGAGTAGTGCATTTTATTACAAAAAAAAAACTTTTGCTGTCTTCCAATAACGGATTATACCTTGATAAATATTGCTAAAAACGACCCCGGAAAGCGATTTGTTCAGAAATATCGCTGTTATTCCTTGATTTGAAAGTTACCCTAACAAAACTAAATATATTTTTCAACAGATATCACATTCAAATTGTTCAAATTTACACTTAAAAATAGTAATGATAACGCAGCAAAGAACTTTCAGATTTCATCTGATTTGCAAATATAAAAATGTAAAAAGAAAGTATAAAAATTAATTTTTCAGACTTTCAAGATCACATCTATACATAGAAGAGTTTCATTAGCCGATATCACTGATATTTAAAAACAAGAGTTTAATACACGTGATGGCACAATTGTACAAAAGCCCAATAGTTTTAATAAAGAGGCTGACGAACTGAGGAAAAATCTTCACAGGAAAATACGCTGTTTGAATAAATGAGGGTGCACAAACTATGATCCAACCCCAACGTATTAGGTCTTCAAAGGTTTTATTTCAAAAACAGAAATACCGAAATATAGAGGGAGAAATGGAAGGAGAGATAATTGAGCTCGGGTAGGTTGATGATCAAAATTATATCTTTCACTACAGTTTCCGACTCTTTAAAGGTTTCAAAGTAGCCTTTTTCAAAAGGAATTTGCCTTTTTTAGGGCTTGTGCTGTCACTTGTTTCAAAATACGCTTTTTCAAAACGAATTTCCCTTTATGATGGCTTCCGAATTCCTTTTTGAAAGCTTCTGGTTTTTTGAAGGCTTAAAAAAAGGCCTTTTCAAAAAGGATTTGAGGGCTTCCAAGTGCCTTTTTGAAGGCTTCTCCTGAGTAACTTGTTTTATCTTTTCAAAGCTTTCAAAATAGGCCTTCTTAAAGGGAATTTGCCTTTTTGATGGCTTCCAAATGTCTTTTTGAAGACTTCTGATGAGTAACTCATTTCCGAAGGTTTTAAAGTAGGCCTTTCTAAAAGGGATTTGACTTTTTGAGAGCTTCGAAATGCCTTTTTGAAGGCTTCCGACTTTTTGAAGGTTCCAAAATAGATCTCACCTTTTTAAAAGAAATTTGCCTTTTTGAGGACTTACAAATGCCTTTTTAAGGCTTCTGCTGAGTCATTCGTTTTCGATTTTTTCAAAGCTTTCAAAATAGGCCTTCTTAAAGGGAATTTGCCTTTTTGAGGGCTTCCAAATGTCTTTTTGAAGACTTCTGATGAGTAACTCATTTCCGACTTTTTGAAGGTATTAAAATAGGCCTTTCTAAAAAGGATTTGACTTTTTGAGAGCTTCCAAATGCTTTTTTGAAGTCTTCCGACTTTTTGAAGGTTCCAAAGTAGACCTCGCCTTTTTAAAAGAAATTTGCCTTTTTGAGGACTTCCAAATGCCTTTTTGAAGGCTTCTGCTGAGTCACTCGTTTTCGATTTTTTCAAAGCTTTCAAAATAGGCCTTCTTAAAGGGAATTTGCCTTTTTGAGGGCTTCCAAAATCTTTTTGAAGACTTCTGATGAGTAACTCATTTCCGACTTTTTGAAGGTTTCAAAATAGGCCTTTTCAAAAGGGATTTGACTTTTTGAGAGCTTCCACATGCCTTTTTGAAGGCTTCCTACTTTCTGAAGGTTTCAAAATAGACCTTACCTTTTTTGAAGAAATTTGCCTTTTGAGGGCTTCCAAATGCCTTTTTGAAGACTTCTGCTGAGTCACTCGTTTTCGATTTTTTCAAAGCTTTCAAAATAGGCCTTCTTAAAGGGAATTTGCCTTTTTGAGGGCTTCCTAATGCCTTTTTGAAGGTTTCTGATGGGTCACTAGTTTCCGAATTTTCAAAGGTTTTAAAATAAGCCTTTGTAAAAGGAGTTTACCGTTTTGAAGGTTTCCTAATTCCTTTTTGAAGGCTTCTGATGAGTCATTCGTATTCGACTTTTTAAAAGTTTCATATTGGGCCTTTTCAAATGGAATATGCCTTTTTGACGTATGTCAAGAGTATTAAAGCTATTTATAATTTGAGGCGAAAGTTTTAAAGTAAATTTTGGGTTTTGAAAAGGAAAAAAAATTGTTTTCCGAATCGTCGACCACTGAAGAAAGGAAAATATTGAAATTTTAGTTTTTTCAATTTGTAGTGAAAATTTATGAATACTACAAGTTACTGACTAATTGGGACTCTTCAGTAGTTTATATTACGCAATACCTTCTAAGGGTGAACTTTTCAGTTTGCCCTTTATTACACTTCAGCACATTCTCTATCAACCTGTTGAGAAAAATTAAATTGAATTGACAAATATCTCTCCTTTACACAGTCTCCCTTCTAGAAAACTAGTGAAAACATGTCTGCTATACCAAAAGCAGTTTTCACAAGTGATTACGATAGCGACATCAAGCTACACTATTGACGTACTTCAGGTTTGTACATCAAGAAAACACAGACCGAAGTTATTGGCGACCAAGAAGCGTCGGCATACCATAGTACTTGTTCGGTACTTTTTTCTGAAGTTTGCTTTCTATAGAGGTTTTCATTTTGTCCGGTACTTTAGCCAACTCGTCGTCGTCGTAAGTAAACATGAATTTGCAGTTGGCGGAGGAGACTTTCTTCGATTCTATCATCTCTATGCCGTGGTCCAAGCAATAGGTCAATCCTTCTTGGGTATCGAACACCTGAAATATAGGCAATACTAGGTATATTTTCTGAAGAAAATTAGTTCATTGCCGAGCACTGATAAATCCCCAATATTTTGTGTTTGGTTCAATCTGATTACCTCAAAGTCCCCTACATTTTCTAATTTGCCGGCCTTATTCCTCACAAGGGAAGATTTCATTCGTTATTATATCAATACAGATCTACGCGTCTTTTAATTGTTTTCCTACGGTGCTCTTTGCTGGCGAGTCCCCACTTTACATTAAACCCGTATTTTTTTTTTGTAAATAATAGAAACAATAATACTCACCATAGAAACAAAAAGACTCATCTTACAAATCTCGCATTCATAGTCTCCCTCTTCGCCATGCTGGAACTTCTTCTTCTTCCCCCTGTTGACTTCCGGAATTGGCAGCCTCTCTCTCGTCAATTCTCCTAAGCTCCTCAACTTGTCCCTCCTCTGCATCTCCCTGTCGCACAATTCCTGCACATGCGGTAGAACCTGCCTCAAGATATCTGCACTGCACCTGGTGTCATTCGTTATGCTCAAGAGGAGCCTGTCCAGAGAAAACATGGAGGGCTCGCTGCTGTTCCTCAGAACATCAAAAAGCCCTCGTGCAGTCTTCAGCCAGTAAGTCGGAGCAAAGTAGACGCTTTCGGAAACCACATAGCCCGTACTGACGCTGGACGTGAACGCTTTTGGAAACACGACGATGAACTGTCCGGGTACCTGAATTGTGCGACAGAGGGAAACGCCATGCTCCACGAGGAGGTTGGGCGGAACCATAACCGTGTCGGAATTCAGCCAGTGCTCTTTGTTTTTGCAGTAGTTCGGGACGAGTTGTCTGAGAGCAGATTGAAAGGCTTCGCTCGCGGAATTCGGGATGCCGTACCAGATTTTATTGCCCCCTGTGTGTAAGTACTCGATCCAAGGGAGGCCATGGGGGTCCCGGTACCAGCAGCAAGCGCTGAATACCATCCCGACGTGGAGGGTTGGTACGGTAACACCTAATTGAAAACAGTGTTTGTTCTGGTTCAAGTTTGGTAATCCAAGAAATATAACATGTTTGAACAGTCAACAGCTGAATTGCAATAATTTTAATAAGATTTCTACGTAAAGTCGATTTTTACTTTTAGATATTGATTTTTGTAATATATATTTGAAAGAGGTAACTTCATCCGTTCAGTATATTTTTGATAGAGATGAAACAGATAGCAGTGAAGCCAAATACTGAAAATTCGGACAACCTCGCAGCCAAATATTCGGTAGTCGAATATTGGGTGGGCCGTCGCCATTTGTTGCGCCGCAAGAAGCACGCTTGCGTAGATGGGGCGGGAACGATAGGGTGGATATTCTCGATAGGGTGGATATTCGGACAACCTCGCTGCCGAATATTCGGTCGTCGAATATCGGGTAGGCCGTTGCCATTTGGTGCACCGCAAGAAGCACGCTTAAGTAGGTGGCACGCGAACAATAATGTGGATATTCAATAGGTTGGATATTCCCGATAAGGTTGATATTCGGGCAACCTCGCTGCCGAATATTCAGTCGTCGAATATCGAGAGGGCTGTCGCCATTTGTTGCGCCGCAAGAAGCACGCTTGCGTAGATGGGGCGAGAACCATAATGTGGACATTCAATAGGTTGGATATTCCCGATACGGTGGATATTCGGGCAACCTCGCTGCCGAATATTCGGTCGTCGAATATCGGGTGATCCGTTGCCATTTGGTGCACCGCAAGAAGCACGCTCAAGTAGGTTTCGCGCGAACAATAATGTGGATATTCAATAGGTTGGATATTCCCGATACGGTGGATATTCGGGCAACCTCGCTGCCGAATATCTGGTGGGCCGTTGCCATTTGGTGCACCGCAAGAAGCACGCTCAAGTAGGTGGCGCGCGAACAATAATGTGGATATTCAATAGGTCGGATATTCGGGCAACCTCGCTGCCGAATATTCGGTCGTCGAATATCGAGTGGGCCGTCGCCATTTGTTGCGCCGCAAGAAGCACGCTTGCGTAGATGGGGCGAGAACGATAGGGTGGATATTCGGATAACCTCGCTGCCGTATATTCGGTCGTCGAATATTGGGTGGGCCGTTGCCATTTGGTGCACCGCAAGAACCATGCTTAAGTAGGTGGCGCGCAAACGATAGGCTGGATATTCGATAGGGAGGATATTCCCGATAGGGTGGATATTCCTGATAGGGTGGATATTTCCGATAGGGTGGATATTCGGACAACCTCGCAGCCGAATATTCGGTCGTTGTAGGTGAAGCGCGAACAATAGGCTTATACAATTCGGATATGTTCGTTGATAATTGTTTCATTCGTTGAATTATTGTACTTACTGCATCTATCTTTCAGCACCTTGCAGCTGTGTACAGAGAAATATTTTTTCTGAAGCTAGCCTCATTTACAAAGACAAGCAAAATCGCTTGCTACCTCCTAATGAAGATAAGCTAGTATTCATTTACCATAATTTGCCCTCAGTGCGATGTGACTCATGTTCTAAGTAGTAGAATTATTGTGTTTACTGTTTGTATTTCTTAAATGATACTAACTGAATAAAGCAATTAATCACTCAAAAGTTTTCTTATTCCGTATTCGGCCGAATAGGTGGAAGTTAACCGGTATTCGGTCGGATAATATTCAAGCCGATTAATTGATGAAGAAAAAATCATTCCGAAGTGTGACAATCACATTAATAGCAAGAGATATATTATTGAATTTGTGAAAGATAAACAAAAATAAAAATTTCACGTCAGATCCTAACTCACCCATGATTGGTCCAAGAGAACGCAAAACTGACGCGTTGTTGTTAGTAAGAACTTTCAGATTCCAAGAATGCCTTGCGAATGGACTGTTTTTCGCTGTGGCGAAGCCGTAACCCCAGTTTCCACAGTCAATCGATCCAGAGTGAACGCATATGTGGTTTTGTCGCATACTGACGTGCCTCCAGTATTCTTGCTCGACCTGAAAACAGATGAAGACCAAAACTTTTTCCTTCTTTCATTTCACACCTAAATAAAACTGTTCAATTGTTCTTGTTACTTAGGAAGAAGAGACTACACCACTGAAATATATCAGAACTGATCCAAAACAGATGTGATAAATTTGGCGAAACCTAACCTCAAATCCTCTGAACGCTGAAACTCTCCAACCTACCTCGGGTACACCTACCAAATGAAAAACTTCAAACTAGTAACGACAATTCCAATGCATTTCACAAAGCGGCACATAAAATTGACGAATAATCGAAAAAACAGGTCAAGGAATCAATTAAACTTGAACCAGTAAATCCACAAGAAAGGTAACAGTATACTAACCTCCTGAGCTGATGGTTCATTATTTTTAAAATGCATGCTCATGGTGTTTCTGGCTATTCTGTAAAAAGCATTCAATGCCATGTTTCGTCCTTTGGTGATGCATTCTTCGGCATCGTTATCCTCAAAGTCTTCCGAATCTGCCTCAGCTTCTGCGTTCGGCGATTTTTGCTGGAGTTTCATGAGACTCTTCGATTCACGTTTGGCCCATTCAGTCTCCACTTCATCAAACAGTTTCTCTCGTTCAGCTGCAGAATAAATATTAGTTGAATTTTCAAAGTACAGGATGAAAATATTGTTTGCCCACCTGGAGATAGGGTATCGTAAGGCAATAGATATTTGCAATAAATATCGTCAAGTTTCGTGACTCGATCTTGGGCAGATTTTGGGATTTTCATCAGCTCAGACACTCGAGGCCACCTCTTTTTTTCTATGACCTCTTTCAAACCTCCCAAGGTTTGAACTGTTTGATAGAGTCTGGGTAAGTCAATTTCCATACCGCCGATCTGAAAAAAAAAACACAGTCACACCTATTCAAGTCCCAGTATCTAAATCGTCAACTGAATCATTCACAAACGATAATAAAGTGGAGGCCCTAGATTGGAGCCTTGAGGGACTCCAGAAGTTGAAACATTAGCAACGAATGCATGTTTATGACTTTTGTCATGAAGTCAATAGAATACTCACCCACGGAGGATGAACCAAGCTAATATTCTGTGTCTGGAGATACTTCTTGATAGCCATCAACTCTTTGAAATTGGGCCCCCACCGGTACAGCATTTTGTGAACGTACTGGTCGTACGCGGTGAACCTCATGTCGTCCGTGACCTTGCACTCGGGCTTGAAACCACCAGGCGGAACGATCCGGCAGATGCCGAACTGCTCTGCCTTGTGCCTGATTCTCTCGATGTACTCCAGAGGGTCCTGGAACTCCTGGTCGGTCGGATGGAACACCGGCGCCTCCACAAGCCTCGCCGGATCGGTCTTTTTCGGAAAATCTGAGACGTAAACGGGCGTGACGTACTCGGCCGGTCGGCACTTCTGCTTCTGCGTAGGTTTTTTTGACAGTTTCGCGCTCGACGAAGAACTAGCGCTCGGCGAGCTCGGGATTTTGTATTTGAAATCATCCAAGTCCGATAGCTTCTCGCTGCTCTTCGACGTTTTCAGCAACGTTTTGTTCTGGAGCTTCGTCAGGCCATGTTTCGAGGGTTTTTGGGGAATATAGAAATGAGAAGTCTCTTCAGGCTCTGTTGTGGATGGTTCCGGGTCATCTTTGCTGCTCCTGGAGAGGTCTTGTTTCAGTACCGGTTTGCGAAATTGGCCTGCGATGAAAAACGTACAACTGAATCAAAATTTCATGAAAGAGGAGCCCAAAACATTCATAATCCTGGTCCAGACAGCACTGTTTCGACCTGCCGTAGGCCTCATTAGTGGTGCTAGACGGAACCATGACTGACACTGTTGAACCACAAGCAATGAATATAACAACAGGAGTGCCCCGAGAATCGATTTTAGGCCTTTTTTTTTCGAATGACATAATACTTTTATACTACCCCAGGTAAGATGACATGAATCAACTGACAGCTGAGGATAACTTACGATTGTAAGTCTCTTGAGAAGATATGTATTGCAATAAACACACACAAAACCCAACATATGCCAATATATTCCAAAAAATAGTTCTAATTACAGTCCACTCATACCTCGGCAACAGAGGTATATCAAATGAATCTCTGAAAGAGATCAGTAGTTAATGTGAGAAGCACGTGATTTGCTATTGGTTAATTTTACTGTATCACTCAATGTATGAGTTTCTGGGGAAATTCAAGACATTCTCTGAATGTTGTCCAATTTTCACCAAACTACCCTTCATATTTTTCCGTATTTGTATATATTCGTAGTAGACTGAATATACAAAAATATATAATGCATTTTGAGAAAAATAATATGTTTCATAACTATAATACGAGAGCAAGATATGATTTATGCTTGCCGTTTTCAATTTCAATTTTAAAGTGAATATATTTCAAAATTTTTATATCGTGTGATGATCTTTTAAGATTGCGAATGGGCTTATTTAATGATTTTTTATTTATAGTTCACTTGATAGAAATTTTAAATTGAAAAACAGTGTACTTTGCTTGTCGAGTTTGAAAGACGTGGATTTTTGGAATTTCTTACTGACGTTTCGCTGGCGCGAGTAGCTGGCTTCTTCAGAGGTTTAACCATCATGGCTTGCTGTCTGATGACTCGGACAACATTGCCGAATCGTGAAATTTACGGAGCCTATAATTATCAATTTAATTATGATCCAACAAAAGCTTCTGAGGTAATACCATTAATCATACACAAACTAAACTCCAAGAAAAAACGAATTGTTCCTACGCGACCTGTCAGCTAAGAAAAAGTTGAAACTCAATGTTGCAAAATGCAGAATGGATCCGATATGACATACATTTTCAATGCCGAATAAACCAAAAAATTGTGATATGGGTACTCCATTTTCCTGAGAAAATGAACGATTAAGTAAAATTTTCTGTAATTATTTATTCATTTCTTCCAAGAATAAAGCCTGCAAACAAATAAATATACAATAATAAGATCGCTCGAATCCACGAATTAAGCATGAAAATGGACAATAATATTTGCCTTGCTAAGTGATATAGAACAAGTTATATCTAAATATGATTCTAAATAGAATTAAACGAGCTGTATTTTCAAATGGTTTTCGAACCCTAATACAATAAATCAATTATGCATTCATGCGCCCACCAAAAATAAGAAATTCAACGTTACTGGTATATTAGCCATATTGTCATTCAGTCAGCCAGCGCCCTCTGTAGTGTATGCGACAATGTGCTCTTTCTAATGTCAATGGTTTCGACAAACTTCGTATTTTTGTTAAAATAATTTCAAAATGAATGTTGAGCCTACTTTTGTTAAAGCTGACTCCCGACAACCTACCAAGAGTCGATTTTGAAATGACCGATGAATTTTACTTGAAAAATTTGCAATACTTTGGTACCGAAATGAAGAATAAAAAATTGAAACGGTATGTATATTTAGTAGGTCCCTTTTATTTATATGACATTCATTTCAGACTTTGTCTTTTATGGAAGGATGGAAAGTTTTGATTAATTTTTATTTTATCTCGGCCAAGGAGCAGTATGGTGACTGAAAAGAGAAGCAAAAATATGTACAGTGACTCCAGAACATGTCAATCCAAAAATAACCTGAAAAAATATTTTTCGGAATGTAAACTAATGACACGGAATATGCAGCAAAATAGGCACCCGCCGAGACCTACCTTTTACAAAAAACGTTCTTCAATTAGATAATTGAAACAGTTGTATTCACACCGAGTTGACAACAATAACAATAAAAATGACGTCTGTCAAATTGGATCATCAGATCTGTGATTGGATATTAAAAACCCATGCACTTGGCAACTCCGCTCTAGACACGAGCATTTTTATTGGTCAACAAACACGCGGCCAATTTAAATTCCTACTTTTCGAATTGTTCTTTTTTCTGCAAATATGAAGAGATTTTGGGACCGACTAGGCTTGATAAGTATAATATACCCCTAACTCGATCAGTCTATAAGCAAACCAGTATCATTTTCCACAGTATGAAACGAGCCCATTGATGTATTTGACACTGCATGTGTCAACTTGCTATAACTTATTATTGGTGGTGTCAGGTTAAACCAAGAATGCATTGTTTAATATCTCACATTATTCAAAATTTTATATTGATTAACAAAACAAAGTCTACAAATCAGAGCGGGGGCGATTTGCTTTTTTCGTTCGATCAAAACTCTCTGTGTTACATAAAGAATAATAGTTTGACAGTGATATGAATTTGAGGTATGTACAATCAAAAAAATAAAAATAACTTACCGGCTTTCAAGGAGTCATCCTGCCTCGAAGATTCATCCTCCGACCTAGAGGTGGCGGTGCTTGACGGCCTTCTCGAAGGTCTCCGAAACGGCGTACTGATAACGTCTTCATTATCTTCACCGAAAGCATAGACGCTGCTCTCGTTTTCCGGAGAAAACGCGTTTACATTCGGAGCCGTTTCTTTTTTACATTTCCGAAAAATCAGCTTCCTATCGATCTGCGGTTTTGCGGAGTCACCGACTTTCACATCCATCCCCTTCAAGGGAGTCGTACTCGAAGACTCGGCATTGCAACTCGTCTTATCCTCAGGTTTAGACCCTTCCAGAAGGGCGAGTTTTAGTTTTTCAGTGTCGACAGGTTCCGAACTTTCTAGAGTTGACTCTGTGGGGATGAGTTCCCCGAACTTCAACATCTCGTCGTTTTCCTTTTTGATGCTGCTTCCAGCCAAGGCAGAGTCTTTCAGCCATTTCTCTATCTGCTCGTTGGACATGTTGACCTTCTCCTTTCCGAACCGTTTCCCCAAGTCTTTGTGCAGAAGATCGAGGAGAGGCGGAGCGTGGCTACAAGTCGGAAGCATGGCCGAGATACTTTTGCTGGCTTTGACGTTCTTCTCATCGAATCCGTGAAAGATCTCGTCCTCGTCAGAGGAAGACAGCATCGGCAGGTAGTTCTGAGGGATCTTAGCACACTCCCGTTTGGGCTTGACCTCACTTTTGCCGACATCGACTTCAGCCGGCTTCAGTGATGTTTTCACAGAGGCGCTTTTAGCTTTAGGTGCGGTTTTACTTGGAATTTCTTCCTTAGGTTTCTCCGTTTGAGGCCCGGATTTCTGACTCCCCACCATGCTCTGGTTGGTTAGTTTCGACAATGGTTCTTCGTCAGAATCGCTAAACTCGTGGTCAGTTTTTTTCATAGATTTCGTCTTGGAAAACTTCTTATTCTTCGCCTTGTTTGCCAATGTTTGGAGGTTAATATCCGACGTTGTTGATTGGTCAGAATCGCTAGAGCTGGACTTCTGTTTGGCGACAGGTGATGCTTTCAAACTCGCACTAGGTTTCTCCAAACACACATCACTGCTATGGATCTTCGTTACTTTATTACTTCTGGTAATTTTTTTCTTTCTAGGCACTCTGACTTCGATATGGAATGACTCATCTGAATCGTAACTCTGTTCAGCTTTGTTCAATTGAGATGCGCTTCTAGTTGGTCTTTTGGGTCCGACCTTTCCCTCATTTCTTGCGCGTTTAGGACTGTCAGATTTCCTCAGCTTAGCACTTTTTGTATTATCTCCTGAATCTGGTGCCGAAAGTGAAGAATCTTTAACAGGAGATTTCCTTTTCGTACCTGATGCCTTCTTGGGGTTATGTTCCTGCTTGGAGGCAGAAGAAACCTCAAGTTTTCTCTTGAGCTCGTTCAACTTGATGTCATCCGGAATTTCTTCAACAGGAAACAAATCAGTACCAGTTTTGACAGAGACATCTTTGTGTACTATCTCAGCTTCATTTTCAGAAGCAACTTTTTTGTCAATGATTTTGATTTTATCAGTGAGACATTTATCATTCTCATCGGAATTAGAGTCGGCTTTTTCATCAATTTCTTTTGCTTTTGGTTTCTCTTTATGTTCATCTTTCGAGGACTGAGCTTGTGCTTTTAATTCGTTTTCTCTTTGCTCAGTTTTTTTAACATTGGGTAGTTCTGGGAAACTATCAATCGATACATTATCTTCATCATCAACTTTGTTATCATTCACTAGTTTGTGGCTTAAAATTTCCATGTAGATGGTTGCCGCCTCTTTACTTTTTCTGGTAGGCCTCTGCGTGAGTTTAGGGGAGACAAGTTCCTCCTTCTCACTAACTTTTCTCCTTTCTGTATCTTTCTTTGATGTTGGGTTTTCTTTTTTTAGTTGATCCCTTTTTGGTCTACATGTATCTACTGTAACTCTTTTTTGGGCCGGCTCTTCATTACTTTCATTATTTGACTCTGGTAGTTCCTTTGCTATGTGAGTTTCCTTTTTTGAAAGAGCAACAAAGCCTTTTTTTAACCCTTCCTTTTGTTTTTGTGATGTCTTGTTTATTGTTCCAACCAGCTCTTTTTCTGTATTATCTATAATTTCCAAAACTTGCAGTGAATTTTTCTCAGTATTTTCACAATTGTGTCCGTCATTCATTATATCATCTTCTGATCCCGTTTCCAACTTTTGCATTTTATCAGTGATATTTATCAAATCTGCTACCTCTTCTGGGGCTTCAGGTTTTACTGATTTACTTTTATTTTTTTTCATTGTCTTTTTGGTTGATCTTTTTTTGACATCTTCCTCTTTATCAACAGAAGTTCTCTTTGAATCATCACACGAAATAACCTCCATTTTTCTCATGGTTCTAGCTGATAATTTCATGGCTATTGGTTTTTTGGTGAACTCAATCAATTCATCTTCAGATTTGATATCACGTGAATCAGCTGTTTCAATAATCTCCTCTGCAGGTCTGTTTGTAGGTCTTTCATCTATATTTACTTCTCTCTTCCTCAGATCTTTCACTTTGCTGATGTTGAAATCCACTGCTTCATCTCTATGTTCATTAGCTAGTGCTTTAGTTTTCTTTGTATCCTCTATCTTGTCATATTCTGAGATTCCAGAAACAATAAGTTCCTCTTTAGGCCTAGTTTCTACCGTCTTATTCTTAACTTTATTCAAAGAATCTTCTGAGTCAACCTCATCAAAAGTAGTACTTTTTTCAGCCTTGATTGTTTCATTGATATTATCCTCCATACCTTTACTTGTTCCCAGGTCTTCATCATTTATTATTTGTCTTGAGAATACTTTCTTAGAGTTATCTGTTATTTCATCAACTTCATTTTTCAATTTGTCTCTTTTACGAATTGATTTTTTTGGATCATTTTCACCTAGACTGTCCATTAATTCATTCTTGAGATTCTGTTTACTAATAGTCTGTTTTAATTCAACTAAATCAATGGTTTCTGTTGAATTGTCTGTTACAGTATCTTTTTCTTTTTGACTACAGGTATCCTCATTTTCTATACTCTGACATATGGCTGTTGACTTTTTCATATCACTTTCAACCTTATGAGTTGTCTTACATTGCACTTCTTCTGAGTTTGGCTTTTGAATCATTTTGTTTGTGTTATCTTCAATGTCCTCAACCAATAACGTTTTCTTTTCTTTATCCACATTGAGATTAGCTTTCAGTAGTTCATTATTCGACTTTATCTTCTTTTCAAAGTCATCAAGATTGTTATCAACAGTATAATCAGAGGCAGTTTGGCGTTTAGGAAATGGTTTACTCCCAACTCTCTTTTTGGTTCTCATTTTCCCACTGTTTCCAACTTCACCAACAGAATCTCCATCAGTTAAGGAAGATTTGCCAGACACCTTTTTATCACTGACTGTATCTTTATTCAATTCTTTTCCACCATCACCTGCGTTCTTTGTAGATGTCAGCTTTCTTAATTCTTCATGTTCAACGTCACTAGTTGATATTTTTTTGGCTTGATGGTCAGATGGTTTAGCTTGCGAGTCTTTTACTTCATGAATATCGACGTAAGCTTGCAATAACTTTGACTTTTTTGACAATTTACTGAGCTTCATGTCGAGTTCATTTTCTGATTCAGTATCAGAACTTCCAGTTGAAGCCGATGCTTTACCTGCCTGTTTCTTGGATTCTTTTTCATTAAATTTAACACTATCAACTGCTGTGAGTTGTTTCTTAGAACACGGAAATTTATCGGATGGTTTTTTTGGATTTGGATCTGCCTCTCCTGTTTTTATTGCCTCTTTGACATCAATTTTTTCAACTGATTTAGTGTTCGTTTTCTTTTTAGTCATTGGGGGTTCTGTAGCTTTGTTAATGATAGACTTACTAGTGATATTTTTCTTGCTCTTCAAGACTCTATTATGTTTGTCCTGTTGCTCACCATATTCTGGTTCGATTTTTGATTTTTTGGAGCCTATAGATTTCTGTTCTGAACTTTGTTGGTTTACTTCACCTTCAATGTCAGTATCAGAATCATCTATTTTTTTCGGCGTTTCTTCAACTAGATATGAAGCTTTTGATTTTTTCAAGTGGGTCGGTTTTACATAGTCTATTCTCAATACTTTATCAGGTGATTCTCCACTGGGATTCTTTAGGAAATCTGGAGATTTACTCTCAAGTTTTTTAAGATTCACAGATTCAGACGTCTCTTTCAACTTCATTTGATCCTGATCTTCTGGAACTTTTTCTTTTTTTGAAGTCTGTCTTCTTTCCTTATCTGAGGCTACATTTAAACCCCTTTTTGTTTCTTCTAATTTATCTCTAGCTTCGGCTTTGACGTCAGGTGATTTGGCAATTTTTTTTGCAACATTGATTTCTTTTTTTTGAACTATATTAGAAATCCTAGTACTCTTTTTGATTTCAACAGTTTTATTAACATCTCTTTTTATATCTGTGGACTTCATTACCTCTTTCCTAATGTCGACACTCTTATTCATCTGTTTTTTATCTTTGTCAACAAATTTATTCGTTTCCTTTTTGTAACCTGTAACTTTTTTATAATCTTTCTTTATAGCTGTTGATTTTCCAACATCCTCACCTTTGTTTGGGCTTTTCTTTTCACCCTGTTTCGAATCTTTATGTTCAAGATTCCTAACATTACGCCTAACATTCTCAGATGATTTAACTTCAGTTGTTCCCACTTTGTTATCAACAGGGGCCTCTTTTTCTTTCTTATCAAAACTAGCACCCTGTTTTCCTAGAGCTTTCTGCTTTTGTGAAGCCCTCAACCTCTGTTTAACTTTGACAGATTTACATTTCCTTTGAGAGAGAACAGTCTTTTTCAAAGTCGTCAACCTAAGTGATCTTGGTTTCATAATGGTATTTGGATTGGTCATGAGTATTCTTTTCTTTATTTGTTTCCTTCTGATTTCTTTGTTTTTATCCGATATACCAGACCTGGTTACTCGAGGACTGTAATAATGAAATATATTCAGTTTGTAGACAAACATCAAGATATAAAATGATTTTTTTGCGCAGATACGCGGTCAAAACAAAACTACGAGTAAGATTCAGCTGAAATTTTGACAGTAGCTGCCTACGAGAATGTATTACACATTAGTGAATTTCTATTACGATTGTGGCGCCATCCGGCGGCGAGGGGAAGTACTTATCGGACCGCCCTCGTACATACACACTGTAGACAACAATGGACGGAAATATATGAGAAAGTAACTCGATAAGATGAAAACTGAAAAATTAATTCTAAGCAGTCATATGGTGAAATGCAATATCAATCGATTTATAGTATTGCACTAACTATTATCACTGATTGTATAGAAATTAAATGAATGCTGAAAACAACACAAAAATCATGCCTCAGCCACCATATTCACCAGATTTGCTTCCCTACGAATTTTTCTGTTCTCAAGATTGAAGAGACACATGAAAAGAGGGGGGACTACTTTGAAAAGAACAAAATGGGAATTGATGAATAACATTTTTTGAGAAAAATTAAAATTTACCATATTTTTTGAACAGACCTCCTGCATACATACAAGCACACATGGCAAGCTGAATGATCTCTTGTAAAAACTAACCTCTTTTAACTTCATGCATTGAAAATAATAGATACCTGGTTTTTGGATCGGCCTCAGATTGGTATTTCCTGTTCGATTTGAAAACCGGCACTGATTTCATCTCTTCTGGAGGTTCAGCAGTTGGCTCCTCGTCTTCAGATGATTCTGGTTTCTCCAAGGTTTTCTTAGTGTCTACTTGTCTCACCAAAGGTTTTCTTATAAGAACCTTTTCTCTTGCAGCAACCTTTTTCCTAAAAGGTAGTTCCTTTTGCACGAATCTGCCTCTAAAACTCCTCAAACACATCTTAGGTTTAATTTTGGGCCTCAAGGTGGTTTTGAGAGTTTGTGTTGTGACTTTAACATGTTTCGTAGCTACTACCCTTGTTTTGTGCAGGGTATTACTTTTTTTTGTGACAGTTTCTGTTTTCGATACCGTGTTCGTTCTTACCAATGTCTTATTGGTGACCTTTTCAGACAACTTGCTTATTGTGAGAGCCCTAATTTTGGCCATCTTCTGTTCCTGATATTTTCGGCGAAGCGCTTGTATCGCAAGAGCGTGGCGCCTCTTTCTATCCATTTGTCGGCTGATGACGATCGGATCTGCCCGTTTTCTCACTCCAAATGCAATGAATGGTTTTTCAGAAGACGTTCCACATTTTCCGATATCGATAGGACCATTTTTAGGCGAAGACTCGCTTTTTATTTCATGGACTTGGCCATTCGTGTCAACTATAGAAGCTGTATTGAAGAAATTCAGATCCGGAGGGAGAATAGGTGTTCCTCGAAAACACAAAAATGTTAGGAAGTCTTCAGTGTTTGGTCGTTTTATAGGAAGTAGTTCCACTGGTTCTGGTAATACATCAATTTTTGGGCTCTCGGATTCTAATTCTCTAATCGGGGTTATGACGGGACTGTTCACATTGGAGCCCTGGGCAAACTTTCGTTGGGCATGTACTTTAGTCCTGTAAAAAATACAAAACTTATCAAGTTTTCAGCAACCTCAATGCTTCATCATCCAAGATTTTAAAATAATGTACAAAATAATGAGTTTCTTTGCTATTTTCCACTACCACTTCAAGGTACAGTATATATATATTTCCCGAGTTTCTCTTTGGAAAAACAGCCTCAGCGTCAGGTCTTACAATAGCCTGTCAGAGATGTCTCAAAAAAGGAGAGACCAATATTGTCGAATGACTAATTTATATTCCCAGTAACTCCAGGAATTTCCAGAAACAATTCATTACGTTTAGTAATGTTTTAAAAACCAGCTATACCTAAACTAGAATGTTAAAACTACCCCCTATTAAATTGTCCCCACTGCAAGTGGCCTTACCTTTTAGGACTCTCTTCGAGCAGGGGAGATGGACAACCACTTTTTCTTTTCCTCTTCATCTTCATTACAGCATTACAACACAGTCAATAAAAATACCTTGCATGGAATCCTGATTGGCCTCAAAATCGATTATGGGTTAGACTTTACAGCCGATGTGAATTACTAGAAATGGATAATAACGCAAATTTAACAGATCACCAGATCCTGTTCATAAAGATAACCGTTGGAGCATTGTTAAGAGCCTTTGTTTATTTTTTCGTTTTTCATAAAACCAAAACGCTGGATAAGTCAAAACATCAAACACAAGCGTTTAACCTCACTTTATTTTTTCTTCTTCTTCTTCGCTTCCTTTTGGTCTTTGCTTCCTCTAAGGTGCAGTAGATTAGTCCTATTGAAAAACCAGAAATGAATTATTCGAATGGGTTATCAAAAGCAGAAATAATATAGAAAAAATGGGAGAAAATGAACGATAAGTATGAATTCAACGATGTTCGTGAAAAAAACGAATTGTGGTCTAAAATGGAAATGAAATGAGGAGTGGAAATGAAAGGAAGAATGAGTTGACCAATAGTGAAATGTCAATAAAATGCAAATAATGTAGAATACGTATAACTAGAGTTTTTTCCCCAACACCAAATCGTTATTTTCTACACCTCGATACGTATTTCGATTACCAAGCGATCATCTTCAAGAGGAAGATGATCACTTGGTAATCGAAACACGTGTCGAGGTGTTGAAAATAACGATTTGGTGTTGGGAAAAACTACAGTAATATTCATTACTACACCAAAGGTTGCAGACAGTGCATCATAAGTAATGAAGGATACATTTTTTTAAAAGAGAAACGCCGAACTGAAAACTGAGTTTTTTTAAGGACAAAACACAAGCAGTACAGGAAAATTAAGGCGCTCTCAGAGCGGTGCCCGTGCGAAAGTAGCGATTCACATTGAATTTGAATCACTGAAGATTGAATCCATTCGAAAAAACGTTCTCAGGAAGTTTATTCCACATAAACGCAGTTCCCCAGATGAAAACGTTCTTAAACAGTGGAGTTCGAGGTGTACTGAGTTGAACCTCAAAACGATGAGCAGCCACAGTCCGTCGCGTATTTCTGATATGTACCGCACTTGGTGGAATCAAATGTGACAAATTACTTGAACACCTTCCGTAAAACTATCTATAGAAGAGACAGTATTTCCAGACAATGCTTGCAGACAAAATAAAGAAGACTCCAAAGCTACCCAAAATTATTACTCCATTCAAATCACTTGACGAAGCTACTGTGCTAACGAAACATGTGACATATTTTTCAAATGGAGTTTGTTGAGATCAGAATGTGAGTTTTTGAAATTACTATGGATCTTCATCAAGTAACGGCCGAATCAATCAGAAAATTATTACTTCCGCTTTGTTTGCCATTCAACTTGGTTTAAATATTTTCGGTAGACGTCGTACCTGATTATTCACTGAACATATGTCAAACACGTGAACATTGGGACCTAGCTTAGGTGAATCTGTTCATCCTTCTTTAGCCAATGAAGTCGATGTTCTCATTTTATTCTTGAATGCCTACCTGTCTGAATTATTATGTCTGTGATTATTTTATTTTTTCTCATTTCGAAGTTCTTGACCTTGAATTCTGAAAGTTTTTCTTTCAGCCAGGTTTCCTTGTATTGCATCACATAACAATATTTTTTACTATATTAACGATAAGTAATATAGAAATAAAGTGGTGTGGCTCAGAATGACTGTAATTAAGGCAAAGAAGAATCACAAGTTTCCCCCACTCACCTCTCCAACTTCTGATGATGATACTTTGAGGTAAGTGCAACAGTAGAAAGAGGAAAAAAATCAAATTCAGCATTTTAGCCTAGACAATGTTCAGGACAGTGATGGGGACTCCTTACAGGATGAAGGTCCAAGGACAAGTCCCATTCGTTTTAGACTAGGCAATGTTCAGGACAGTGATGGGGCCTCCTTACAGGTCCAAGGCCCAAGAACAAGCCGCATTCGGAATGTCAAACGAAAATCAGTACCAATTGAGGAGGTAAAAATAAGAAAGAACTTAGGGAGAAAGAAGTTGAGAAGATATGAGAATCGTAAGTCACAATTTTTTATATCCAGTCAGATAATGAAATTGTGTAGGATACAAATATAGTTGATACAATTTAAGAAAGAGTAGAAAAGGGGGAGACAAGCTCATAATCTAAGACTAAAATCATGATGAGTTTGTCAAAAAATTCCTGTAAAGTACAAAAACATTTTTGAAATAGACAGAAACACTATTCAAAGCCTTTAAATGATCTGAAAAGTGGTTATATATCTTTGTAGCAATGTTTTCCAGTCCACATAACATCACTTCGAATCTAGCTGAGGGTAAATCAAAACGGTTCTTGATTCTAGTAGTGTTGGTGAAATTTCAGATTTGTTCTAAAAGTTGAGTTGTTTTTGAACAGATACATAGTTCAAAAATATAAACCGATGTTAGTGTTAAGACACCCCACTCCTCTAAAAGGGGGTTTGTTCAAACAACAGCTACAGAGCTTCAATAACGATGGAGGAATACCATCCGGACCAGGACCTTCAGAAGCATTCAAATTATTCAATCTGCCATAGAGAAATACTTATTGTTCTATAGTTTGTAATGTGCAAAAGAAGCTGTGAAAGTTTCGGGACTTTGGGAGGAATACACACAAAAGTTTTACAGTCTATCCGAAATTTTACAGAATTTCACTATTCATTTCTCTTCAGGTTGTGTACTTCAAAGTCTCATTGAGGAAGATGAAAAGGAAAACCATGTTGTTATCATGGAATCATACAAGGGTCCTTTCACCAGATTGCTAGAAGATAAATCTGCCATGGAGTACTGGAATGAATTCATTGAAAAATCCGAAAAGGAACAAACAGAAATTGTCAAAGCCTTGTCCAATAAGTATCATTCACTGCCAGATTGTACAGTTGACTCTGATATACCGGGAAGAATTTCTTCCAGAATCAGACGCACCTTCAAATTAAAAAAAAACCTGTCTCTAGTAACTGTCCGTGAGTGCGAAGAAGACTTGATTGAGTTTTTCAAAGCCAGGCCTGAAGATATTTATGTTAGAATACCGCCAACTAGTTTTGACAGGCTTCTGATCCATGCCGTTGCTCAGTACCATAGGCTGAAGTCAATAAGTATGTATTATTGTCAATGTCTTTTGTATCGTCACTGCATGTTTGGAATCGATTCATTGGAAATAAACTTATAGAAGCAAATTACACTAATATTGACCTATATTTTTCTTGTGGGAAATCTGAAAAGTTCATAGGCTGCTAACATGGAAAAAAATTGATCTTATTATTCAATATAGTTGTCTCCTAAGATTATAGGAGTCATACAATATTTTGATACCATTTTTATAGCACAGTTTGTCTTTAGCCTCAAAATAGGCTTCATTTTCGACGATTAGCTCTTTGGCGCTACATTTTTTCCAGCTAGGACTCTCTTGTAGTCTGTGACCAGAAAAAAGTCTCTGGGTGCCAGATCTGGAGTATACGGTGGATGCGGAAGCCATTCAAAGCCCAAACTATGCAATTTTGACATCGTTTTCATTGATTTGTTAACCGGTACATTGTGTTGATGGAACAGCCCTATCTGAAATTAATTAGTTTTCAGGTTATTTTTATTCCTTGTTTTTCTCTTTTGAATGGACTACATAACCTTGGCATAAAGGAGCATAGTTGGGGCACTGTTACAATCTTTGATTGTGAGAGGCTGTGAACCGAAAAACAGCACAAAATAAGTCATTTTGGAGGTGTATTTATCAATACTCTAAGGACAAGTGTAAACAGATTAATCTCAAAGCAAATCATTTTTTTTTAAATACCAATCAAATATTTTGCACTCACCTGAAATGTGATCAAAGATCAATCATTTGCTTTTCAGGTAATTATGTTGATGAGGGAACACGTCGATCAGTTGAAGTACATAACACGAGGGATAATTGGAGTCCTGCTAACTGTCAACTGTCTGATTTCATTGAACGATTGAGAAAATGAGAAGGCATTTGAAGTTGAAAGAGTACTTTATCCCAGTGGATGGCTAATATATAGTTTCTAAGTATATGTATAAGATAACTTTATTTGTGATAATCTCAAAGAGATGTGTAAATTTTATTTGACAAAAATTGTCTTGGGTAATGTTTTAAGGCTCTTTTTTTCCGATATTTCATTATTGTTCTCATGTACAATTTATAGATTTTCATTTATATATATATATTCGTTGTGTTTTATGCATTTTATGTCATGTGATTTGTTAAGGCTCAGTTGGATTTTGTGAAGTAATTGTTATTTTTATTAATTGATTTTGCAAAAAAATTCTATTTTGTTACCAACTCACAAATTTCTAACTAGTTACCGTTAAGAATTTTTGTGGAATATTGAAACAATGTTGTAAGATTTCAGCAGTTACCATGTCTTGAATGAATTATGTTGTATGTGATTTTATGTGGATTACAAAATGTACGTATAACGTGGGAGGAACATACGCTGAAACGGATTTTTGTCATGTTTCTTTTCTCCAATAAATCACCACAGTTTTATCTCGAAGAATTTTCACTGTTAATTTATATGGTACTAGGGTGCTAATGACGGTTCTGAACCTCCCCCACCACTCGACCTTGACCTTGAATGACGTCACACGACCTTAAGCTATGCATACGTCACATGACCTTGAATACCCTAAACGAAGTTGAGTTACGATCACGACCTACGGCCTTCAGACGGAGTTTGACCTTGACGATCGAATCTGTCATTGATAAATGACGTTGAGCCACATCATATGACCGTGAATGAAATCTCGGATTGGAGCCCTTAACCTCATAATCGTCTGTAGGATTCCAGTGGTCCCGCGAATGATGAGGGGCCATCAACATCGGGAGAAATGCTCCAGAAATGCAGACATGTTTGTCCTGCAATTTGACTATTAGAAGGTGAATGTACATAAGATACACATGCATGTGTTCAATATTGAGACGGTGTTGAAATTATACATACAGCATTCAGCTGTAGAATTGTGAGCTACATGAATAGTAGAAACCGCCATGTGGATTACCCCACATTCTTCAATGAATTGAAGCAGGATGTTTTGAAACTACCCGAAAAAGTGTTGGTGATCCAATGAATTTCTCTTATCTTATAAAATAGAAACAGTTTCAAGAAAACTATGTATAAAGCAAAATACCTCACTAACGAATCTTTTACAAAGCAGTACCTACAATAAAAATTCACACTCTCTAAAGGAACCCGCAGTTTCCTTATGGAAAATTCCTGTCGGATGAATTTGATGAAATTTTGCATAGAGATTATTCTAACATGGCAGTCAAATATCCCAAAGGGCCAATCACCATAACCCCCTTCCAGGCTGGCCATAGTGATCATGGACCTTCAAGGTCAAGTCAATTTTTATAGCAAGGGCATCCAATGTTCCACCCCGAAAATGAATAAACCAAAAAAAACACTTCCATTCAAGTCCTAGAGCGTTCTAGACACACAGCCTAGATAGAGAAGTAGGGGAAGTGATTGGTGTATGAGGAAGGAGGATCGTCAAAAGAGGTTGAAGACGAACTGATTTATCTGGTCATTGGGTGTAAAAGGTCTGAGTATGGAGTATCGCAAAAAGGAGCTTGAGACGAAGTTGTGAGGCTTGGGAGTGAATGGAAGGAAAGTATTCCTAGCAGACTGACCTACGAAAAGTTAATTCGTCGAGTTGGATCCAATGATAATGAATTTACCATTTTTCCAATTCCCGGAAATGAAATGGTGGGATAGAAGGCCAGTTCTTGAATCCAACAGAAAATTTCTCAATTATTGCTTTAGAAGCGCTAAATTTTCGAATGACCTAATAGATGAATCCATCGGATCAATCGGTAGACTCATCGGTGAATTTAAGAACTCTTTTAATGATTCGACATCCAGAAAAAATAAAGGAAATAGCTGAAAGTTACAGTATCAGAATTAACAAACAATTTAATTGGGAAACAACCATTCTGAGAGTAAATCCCAAAATTTTAAAAATACAAAGTTCTTCTTATCTACACTTCAACAACTGCAATTGGGCAATCCCAAAAACTGAGAAATCCGACATTTTCGAACTAAACTGTGAGAATTTCGACAAAAAAGTAAGTTGGTCAAACTGAGAGAATTATATTTACTCGTGTCAGGGAACACGTTTGACTCATTTCCTTTCATAGACCCGATCAGTCTAGTGTCGTCCATCATGCTTCGGGAAACGAAATGAGAAATACCTTAAATATTGTTGACGGAGATACATAACGGGCTTTTAGACACGTTCACATGTATGTGAATAGAATTTAGCTCCGAGCTGATTTATTCCAATGGGTATTTATCCATTTTTTGTACGTCAGAAGTCGCCTTTTTCTTCTGTGAAGCAACCTTTGACGACAAATTGAAAAATTTCTATTGACTTTTTTGATCGCCATCTGTTAGTGGCTGATCCTACTGCCCAAAATGAAAATGAAAACGTCAAATAATCTGTATTGGTTTTACAGTTTTCTATTATTGCTACTATCTAATAGTCGCAATAATTTTAGTTCATGAAATATCTTGTAGATGGCAGATATAGCCTCTATTTTTTACAGTCTTAGGAGAAAATGATTAATCCCAGTTACTGCGAAATTTTCCAATTTTTGCCCAAAATTTTCGGTCGGCTGATCATGGATATGAAGCCAACATTTAAGGTGAGTATTCACTACTGAATATTGCAGATTTCATCATCGCTTGCTGTGGACTGCGCAAACTAACAATAAAAGTGATAAATGGTCTGTGTTGGTTTTAAAGTTTTTTATTATTGCTACTATCCAACAGATGTCCAACAGTATTTCATGAAGTATCTTGTAGATGGCAGACCTAGCCGCTATTTATATATTCCCAGGAAAACAGGACTATTCCCAACCATCGCGAAAGTTTCTTAATTTTTGACCAAGTTATTTGGTCGGCTGAAAACGAACATGAAGTCAATATTTATCGTAAGCATCAACGGCCATTCAAAAGTCAAAAATGTTCGAAAACGACTTCTTCGGCGCCCATAATTGATAACAAAAACACACCTTTTCTTACCATCGCTTGCTGTGGACGTACAGAGTTCATTACCGTTCAATTATCTGTGTTCACATATACCTATTTTCTGATAGGTAAGTAATAATGAAATAATGTTATTTGAAAGAGAAGTGTACCAGATTGTATGAAAATAAATGGCGAAATCAAGTTGAAAATGCACTAACCTGAATGTTGGAATCCCTGCTGCTAATCCAACTGGCGAAGGGAAAGCGTTGAACCGTTGTGGACTAGGTATGACGTAGTAGGTTAAAAAAAACTGCATCCGTATAGTGATAGCTTTCTACTTTCGATAAGAATTGAAAAAAAAACATCTGGATGGAGAAAGACTAAGACATAGCCGCGGCTGTGTTTAAATTACTTGATTCACTCATTAGTTCATTTCAAAAAAGAGTACCTCTCTCAGAATCGTTATATCACTGAAACGTCAAAGACAAACTTCAATTTCAAAATCAATCATCGGCATCAATATCAAAATTTTAAAGTGAAAATGTCCAACTCAGGAAAACCCTGCCCCGTTGCCGACGAATGCTCGATGATGAAATCGATGGCGACTACCGCGAATTCAACGATGCCATCAACACCCTCTTCATTACCGTCGTCTTTACCGAGCAGCTTTTTCGAGAACCAGTTCTATGACAGTCTCATTAGTTTTATGCAGGAATGTTCCAGAGTCATGGACGAGGTTCACCGTAGATCAGGAAAAAGGGAAAGTGAGTAATGCCTAGTCAAGTGGTACTTTCAATTCAGTTTTCAAAAGATTTTCTACGTATTCTGGTCGCAGCCCGGAAAAATACTGATTCCGATGTATTTTTCCTGGCAATTCTGGATATGATTCAATTTCATAACCAAACTTTTGATCTGTTTCAAATCGCGATTTCTTTCTCAGTTCATATGACGCAAGAAGAGAAACAAGCAAAGATACAGGAATTAATGAATAAGATTGCCGAAAAGGAAAGAGAGTTATCGCAACTAGAGGAGGAAAAAAGAAATATGTTATCGAACTACGATGCGAGTGCCTCGTCTGCTGGTAGTGGACCAGCATTCACACCCCCAGTAAAGGTAAGCTCCTTGTTTCACCTGAAACGACTTAATCTATTCAATTTTGTTTGTCATTCATCTTAGACCCAAAGTGGGAGGTAAAATTGGAAACTCTGGCGTCAAATAAATCCAAAACAAGAACTTTTACCAATCACCAGAACTGAAATACTCTTCTCGACGTGCGTCGAGATTCAATCTACATATCAACCTAGATTTCGATAAAGAAATTCTTGTGATGATGGTATTGAAAGCCTTCAGATTGGCTGGAAAATTATATAGATTTCTTATTTAAAAAAATTGAGTTTGTATTTTTTGATTTCGAAAGAGTTTTAGACATTATCGATAGACATTTATTGATACCAAATTGTCGAAAACGAGTTCAAGGGAGAATGCTTGACATTTGCCAATGAATAAATAACCTATCTTTCTGAGTTCCTTCTGCATTTTCAATTTTGGGATATAATTGGGAGAGACCATCTTATATATTTTCATAGCTGATTCTTCATTCTGGATCCCCAACTTCATATAGGACGACTGGAAATCTCTTTTCGGACATATTTTGGAAATGAATTTTTCTTTTACCAAAAATGAAAATGCAGAAGGAACTCAGAAAGATATTTATTTACTGGCAAATGTCAAATTTTCAAATGTCATTATTTTAACGCAGTTGGCAATCATGGGGTCGCATCACTTAATGAGGTCAATTGAATTAATCAATTATTTACTGGTGACATCCTAATTTATTCCGTTGATGAAGATGAAACATGATTTTTGAATATAATAAATATGAAGTTGGATAGGTACAGGATAATGATTTGAAATTAAATACAGAAAAAAATGAATTTATGTTTCTGAAGAACGAACAAATACCCCTTAATGGATACAATACGTAAAATGTGAAGTACATGAAATATTTGGGTGTGATTATTGATAAACATTCAATATTTTTTTAACATGTTACGATTTAGGTGAAATTGACAAAATTTGGCATAGGAATCATACCAACAAAACGCATAGTTGCGTTTTGTTGGTATGAACTCATTTATAAGAACTACTACAAGAAGTATTGCTTGGATATTCAACACCCAAGTCATTTGACTTAAATTTCAACTAAATATGTGACGTTTTGTGTTGTGTGTATTTCCTAAACATCATTATCATTTAATTTTTTCAGCATGCTCGACAGCCACGTGGAACTTCTAGAAGAATGCCGCGTAGTCCATACCAACACTCGCAAGATGGAACATCCTGCATACCTGGATGCGATGCAGACTGCAGTTTCAGTGTACCTGCTGAAACGAATTATCAAGTGAGTATACTAGTTATCCTTACCGAACAGGGTAAGGATAACTTGATTTTATTGAGAATTCCTTTCATCGTAGATGCATCCTTGGCGCCAACGTAGGATAATGTCAACGCCAGAACGACGATCGGCAAGACCTCCAGCGTTTGACACCTCTGGTTACAACACTTCGAATGGGCCTGGTGGTTGCGATCCTAATTGCACTGATCCCTGCAATGTTTTAGATGACAGCACGATGGCTCACTGGCATCGGCGATTAATGTGATTTTTGTTTCGGTAATAAAATATTTGTTCATTTGACATCTGTATTTTTAAAAAAGTAAGTAAATGAAAAATATATTTTATAAAATGTGTGTCTGTTCTCTCGGCAACTCATACATTTTTGAAATGTTTCTGCAGGAAGTTCATAACTTCAAAACGTTCTTTCATCAGTAGAGGTTGTGATGAATAGCAATATATTGCTTTGCTGAAGACAGCACCCTTGTCTCGACATTCCATTTGGATTCCAGGACATCGGCTGTGGATACAAATCTTCCCCGGCAGCAGGAGGTTGCATAACTTATTGAGGATCTAGCGGTGGTTTCGAATTGGGTAACCAGGTTCAATTTAATGCCACAAAAACCCAGGCATCGGTTTTCACCAAAAATAAAACACAGGGCTAACAAAAAAGTTTTTCTCGTTTAATGAAGCCGGTAAACCAATCGCATTTATCGTACCAAATAATATTGAATCCTCGATTTTGTAGATTATCTGACGCTTTAATTGAAATCAAATTTGGTTGAGGCCTTGCCAGAGTTTTAATAATGTAAAATTTATTATCATAAGATAAAGATAAAGACTTAAAATTATTTGTCAGCAACCAATCGACTATATCGTCAGATTTTTTGATTTCGTCCAACTTATCCATAATAAATGGAAAAAAAAATTACCGAAAAGTGAAAACCTGAAAACCCCTTGAAATTGAAAGAAAACACATTAAAAATATTATCAAAAAGCACTGCTGTAACACAATACTGCCTGTTTTTGAAACGATTTACCGAAATATTTTTCTGTCCCGGTCCGTCATGGCATCCCGCCCGAATAATTAAATAAAAAACAAACGCAGCTGTACACTAACGGAGACCAACTGGAGGCTAGCCTCCTCTAACGCTATAATTTCTGCGACTAAAAGTACAAATCGGGACGTATGTCGCTGGTTGGATCGGCATCGAGGAGCTTGTGTTTTTTAAAACGGTCGGAGGCTTGGTTCTCTTGCAACGTTTGGCATTTATTATTTCGGGTTGATGGTTTATTCGTTCATGGGCGGTGCGTTTGACGTTTGTTGATGCAAGATACAGTGTGGTACGTACTACGTAGTGAGTGATAGTGTTTTTTCGGACATATTATGTATTTATATGAAAATTTAATGGTAAAGTAATAATACCCAAGCATTTTTAGAAAAAAATAATCATAATTATTTGTCAATATCTTTCAATTTATTGCGATGAATAGCCTCAAATTTTATGGGGAGGCTAAGCCTCCCTTGCCTCCTCTGACGAGCCGCCGCTGCGTACAGAATATGTGTCAGAATATGTCTGTTCGTCCCCCAGAAGTGCTGTGTACCAAACTGTCTGTATATGTATTTTAAACATCAACTGTTTTTTTAGGCCCTAGTGTTATTTGTAATTTCATTGTTTATTATCAAACCTAGTTTTGAATATTATAAACTTTTGTTCAGCTTAGTCTGACAATTTTCAATTGAAGGTAACTCATATACAAATTGAACTGAGCGGCAACAATGTTAAATGTTAGAACTAAATTCTTACTGGGGTCATTTTTATTGTCTATGACCCCGGTAAGAATTTAGTTTTGACATAGCATTGTTGCCGTTAGCTCTCAGTTCAATTTTTATATGAGTTACCTTCAATTGAAAATTGTCCAGACTTTTTTTATAGAGTACGAACTTGCAAACAGAACTTGTACATTTTAGCTTCTTATGGAGTTTTTGATTCATATTCATGTTCACCCTCATACTTTTCATTCCAGAGAGCATTGGATAATGGTTATTGATCAATGAGCAAGTGTTTCCTTTTCAGGTTTTGCTTGAAAATATAATATTTTATTGGTGCAATGAGTACTTATTCTACAATATTATGTTTTCAAGCGAGACATGAAAAGAAAATATTTGGTCGTTACTCAATAACTATTATCCAAACTGGTCTCTGGATGAGCCCAATAATAGCCATAGTATTTTAAATTTACCGCGTTTCGATAGTTCTCATTTTGCCCAACAGATGGCGCGCCGACTCGTTCAAGAGCTCTCTGGACTGGCTTGAACAAATCATTTCTTCAGATAATGTTGTTAACTAGCATCATCTCGTGAACAAATCAAAATATGTAATTCTAAAGACTGTATTCCAAAATAAGACAACTTTTTCAATTCATTGCACGTTTTTATTTCATAGATACGACCATCTATAATACATTTAAAATATTGATCTCGTGCGGGTGCATTAAATAAAATTAAATAAAATTAAATAATCCAACATGCCGTCAACGATACTAACAACATAGAAGGGTACCCTAGACATGACGAAGGAATAACAATAACATTATCGCAGATAGGTTGGTGCACTGAATGTGGTGAGATCACAAGCTACACTCACTCAACTACACTAATACTATTCATTAAATTAAATTAACAAATAAAATTATATTACACGTAACGACGACTTTATACACACGATGCCAGAGCCGGCCCCAGTCACATAGCCGGCCCAGCACTGCCATCTGGATATTCACAGGGAAGGGACCTTCATTTTGTTGATGGCGTTCCCCAGGTGCATCACCTCCGTGTTGAGCTGGTGGACGAGAGACTCCAGCTTGTCGACGGAGTCCAGCACTTCCACCCTGCCTGTGTGGGGGTTGAACCTCACCTCGAAGGGCCTGGACATCTGGGAGACCCATCTTCTGAATTTGTCTTTCATGTCGTCAATACTGTCTGCGACGTAGTACACTGGTTGGTATTCCTGGTCCTGGTAAGGCTGGAGGGCGGTCTTTGCTGGGTCGAAGGGCCTGTGCTCTGGCTTTTCGGAAAGGGCATGGAGAAGTTCACCGTATGCACTGAGGAGCCCAGCGCCGTAAGCTTTGGTTTCGCCATTTTCTTTGCAAAGGCCGAATTCTACGGTGAACCAGTAGATCTGAAACAAAGAAGTCATGGTCAGAACAATCAACTTTGATTACTTCACAGGTTTAATTTATGTTTTTCAAAGTACTTGCTTGGTAGAATCCTATGAGGTTCTAGCCTTAGCAGGGCAAGAACCATTTACGTCATATATAAAACTTTCAGAAAGAATAAGAAAGTGAAAATGGTGAAAAAGTATCTAAAGTAAAAGTAGTATCATGATCTCTGTGTCTATACAGTAGGGAGGGTGAGTGTAGGCCCACATCATTTAGACCACATGTGACCCATTGTACATCCTCCCAAGGAGCTGTCCTCTTAGGTCACCGTCCATCCTGACCTTTTCAGAAAGGCGGACAGGTCTCTGGAAGACATCTCCTTTATATCGGCAGGTGTTGGCCAAAACTCGCAGAACACACACTCTCTTATTGACGATAACTCGCATAGGACACTCCTGATAGTTCATCTTCTTGTTCACACATCCTACATAGAGGTGTGTCCACTAGCCCCATATTGTGGAGGTGTTTCCTTAGTTGACAGTGGTCAGTCAGAAAGCCTACAAGCGTAGGTTTTTCTGGTCATCGCCAGATTTTTCTTCGGTGCAAGCTTCCTAGGGTCGCAAGGGTGATCGTGGCAAGACTGCGTCCTTTGATTTCATCCCATCTCGTTAGTGATTGAGCATGGGTGTGACGTTTGGCAAGTTCCGCAATTGTCGAAGTCATCAGGCCGTGGGTGCCACTGAGTCCTAAAATTCTTAGTCCAATCGCTTCCTTGGCTAAAGAGTCGGCAAAGCGATTACCTTTACTCCTGTCGTGCCCTTTAATCCACCTCAGGATTATGTAACTATCTACCGAGGCTTTGGTTAAATCTTGGTGGCAATCTAGTACTAGCCCTGAGGTAACACGTTGTCTGTTCAAGGCTAATAGGGATCGTCTGCTATTAGTGCAGATTGTTATGTTTTTGCTAGAAATTCCTTTCCTGGTTATTTCTTTTGTGGCGATTGAGATACCAACCAGTTCTGTTTAAACCACACTGGTATGTTTTCCTATTTCCCACTTAATCCTTAGGCTTAGTGATCTGAAGTACCACATTATGTAGTATCACGATAAAATTCAATACGATTTTCGACCAAAATAATAAATAGCTGAGGATTTTTGTGTTACTGTAAGGCGTCTGTGCAAGGATAGAGAAATTTGTTGAGTATGAACAAAAATAATCATCAAATCTTGTCATAAACTACTACATTTCTTTCATCAAACGTCGAATGCAGAAGAAAAACCCTGTTTGGGACTGATGTAGATGATGATCCAGAAGAATCGGTTGCTCAAGGTTCAATATAGACCTACTATCATATGTTTCAAAATAATGGAAATTTCAATACAAATCTGGCCTTATTCTGGAGAGAAATAAGAATAGCGTGTTTCCATAACCTGTAGCATAAACCAACTTTGAATCTGAAGCAGTTGAATGAAGGTTTGGAACGATAGAAAAAGGGATTCATAGCAACCAGCAGAGTTGAACCTACTTTGAGTCTGTAGAAATGGAATGAAGGGAAGAAGAGGAATTAATGGAATGAGGAACCGCTTGATATATAAATACTTTGAATCTGAAGGAATTAAATGAAAATTCTGAACTATTCGAAGAGGTATTTACAAAATAATGAGTTGTAGACTGAAAAATTATTGAAACTCCCCTACTTTACCACTTTCCCTTTCAATATTTATCATTTATAGCCCTTAGTAGGTGGAAAGTGAAGTACCCAATAAAATTCATTACCAGCCCATGGTTGGTGCAATCACCTTTTAAGAAAGCTCTTACTGCGAGAAAATTTTATAGCGTTGGAAATACCCCGTAAAAGTAACGACAAAACAGAAACGTGGAATGCAAATGCGATAATCGATGCACCTATGACTTAAAAGGAGGCTATTTTTCTTGATAATTACGACTAGCATGTCACGGTCAATGGTGTCTATGCTCGAATGATCAGTGCACAAAGTATATTTACCTAATGCGACCATGGTCAAGCGAAGTTTCGTAATGACATAACGAGGACTGAGATGCAGGGGAATGGTTAGATATATAAACAAATGGGTCATTTGACGTGATAGAAGCCGTGGAAAACAAATTTTTTCGGTGCCGTGGTCATTAGCCTCGTGTTCTGGGTAGACTAGACTCCCCGATCCCAGAGCCTCAGCATCATTGATTTTTCTTTTCGTCAACGAGAATTGAAACAAATTTTGGGGAAGGTTCCCATGAAAGCCTTGCACTTGTGAGTTATAATATGATTTACAATTTCTATTCGGTCAACTTGAACTATCTCTTGGGAGAATCTAAGAATCGAAATGATAGTATTTAAGGGCATACTTCTGGTAGGTGACGATACTGTTTTTGATATAGTGGAAGGAAACTTGAATACAGATGCATTCTGTGGAAGTTGTGATAGATAAAATGAAGATAAAATTCACAACACAACAAAGTTTTTGTTTCGGGGTTGAAATTAGATGATTTTAATGTATTTTCACGTGTTAAAACCGAAAGTGACCATAAAAATTATATATTAGCTCTTGTTTTCAAGATATAGTATCATTATATTATATATATGTATATTGAGTTTTCAACAAATNTATTCTAAAAGAAACATAACAATATTGTTTTATGTACTTTCACTTTTCACGTATAGTATAACTACTCTTTAAGATTAAGTACTGTGTATCTCAAAAACCAGAGCTAATAAAAATTTTTCATTGTTATTTTCGTTTTTATCACCCCAAAATTAGTAGAAATTGACTAATTACTGTAGGAAACATTGTAGTGAGTAAAGTTGATCCCAATTTTTGTAGGAACATTTACTATTGAGTCACATGTCTGACAAAACGTTGCGGACTGACAGGACTATTTTGAGTGACAACAAGACTTTGGAAACTGATCCATTCTGAATTCCAACACAGCACACATGCGAATAATTTTGTTAGGAATACTTACAGTAGACAGTTTTTCAATTTCCTCGTCAGAGGCGCCAAGGGAGGCGAGTCCAATTTCTTGTGAGAATTGAGCAAAACTGGGATCGGCAAGAAGCGGCATATGTCCTAGAATTTCGTGGATGCAATCACTGAAACAAAAAAGCGAAATTCAATACTCTTCGAATTTTTAAAGCCCCAGAGGTTGGAAATCCTTGCGATCGCGAGAATCGTTCAGAATCACAATCTGCTTCTCCATGACTACGAATCTTATTAAGGTAAACCTTTTCGGGAGTCAATTTCCGATTGCAAAACTGAACGCCGAACGCTATTAGTGAGGCTAGCTAGATATAATGGCGTTTTAATTGAATTATCCAAGTCTTTGATGACACTTTGCACTCGCTAATGTACGGCAAGCAGAGAGCAGAAAAATTGATCAAAATTACCTACCCCGGCCCATGGGGTAGATTGAAATGACGCTAAACATTGAAATCATTTGGAAAAACGCAGTTCTCCAAATGAAAGATGCCGGTGAAGATGTAAAGTACGTAAAATTTGAGTTACTTACGGCTCAGGAGTGTGGAAAGGAGTCTTGGTGTGTCGCACATACTGAGTGCTCTGAAAAATCCTGAAGGCGAGAGAAGCGAGGAAATCCCTTGCTGTGAGAAGTCCAGCTGCTGGTCTCAACGTGAACCCTGTACACTTTTTCATAAAGTTCGACATATCCTCCAACTGCGGTACGTGGCCGGGAGTAAAGATTCCCTCATCCTGAAGCGTGCGGAACACCCTGCGATACTCAGCACAAGCGTGCTTAGGCATGAGATCACAAACGATGGTGAAAACTGCGTTCCAGGTTTTGTTTTCAGTTTCGGTATATTCGATGTAGGGCACTGGGTCACCGCTGAAAGTAAATGCTCCTTTAGTTTTGTGGAAACTTGATTCAAACAAGCTGGTTGCTTGGGACAAGTAGAACTTTCTTTTGAAACAAATAACCAAGTTACTTGATTCTAACAAACGGTTTTCTGGCTTATACTTACTATTTGTAGGAGAAGGCAATTTCAGCGATCTGCTTGCGTCTGGCACGGTACTCCTTGTCGGAAAATCCGGGGTGGTTCATGTCCAAATCGGGCTCGTACTTGGTCATGAGATGGTTGCAGTTGTCCAGCTCACTGGAGTGTCTTGGGAACCAGGGGTTCTTAGCGGATATGTTATCTTCTCCGATGAGAGTGACGTGCTCCAAGGTACCAGATTGACGCAGACCTTTGAGAAGCTGGAGGAGATTGACGCGGGTCAGCTCGACTTTGATCAGGCTGTCCAGCTGGCCGTTATCTCTCTGGCTGGGGCGGGTTTCTAGATGGACGACGGATCCTTGGTATTTTTCTATGGTTTTCAACACGCGTGAGAGAGAGTTCATTCCTTCGCGAAGACGTAGGACCAAAGCGGCGCGCTGAATGGCTTTTTCGGCTTCTGGATTTTCGGCAATGGCGTTGGCCAAAACGACTTCTTCCTCAGTGAGACCGGAATCTATGGAAATACGTGGTTCGTTATTGGTGGATTCGAAATCAAGTCTTGGGAGGTGATGCGCTGAGGTGTTTCTCAGGGAACTGTTTCAGAGCCGGTTGTTTCAATCATGTATTGGGATGGAATATATAGAAAAATCATATTGTCATGTGACCAAACGGTTGTTATGATCAACATGAGGGATCAATGTCTTTTATTTGAGTCAGAATGGTGAAGGTACTTGGAGATATTGAATGATCTTGGCCTCGTGACCACACGAGACCAAGACAATGGTTTTTTGAGTTCTCAAACAGTGAACTTCGGGGTTTACTGAGTTGAAATTCAAAACGAAATTTATCTTTTCGGAGAAAACCGATGCTTGGGGTTTCGTGGCTGAGAATTGAACCTGGTTACTTTGACCCCAAGTCGAAATCACCTCTAGATCCTTATTAAGATATGCAACATCCTACTGCTGGTGAAAATGTGCATCCGCAACCGATGTCCTGGTATCCAAATAGACAAGTGTGTTGTCGTCAGCAAAGCAAAATATTTGTTTCTTGTTTTTTTCCAATAAATCGTTGATATGCAATAAAAAGAGGATTGGAGACAATATGGATCCCTGAGGAACACCAGCGTTGATGATAAAAGTATTCGAGAGATATTCATCGACGGCCACTTGCAGGGAATATTCTTTCAGGAAGCTGGAGAGCCATACACACAAATGATATAACGTAATACTGAGTATACACGTTACGCACACTCACTTACGCAATTGTGCAAGTATTTACTAATCAATCGATTATGTTAGACGCAGAGAAAGGTATATTTACTTTTTTTCAACAATATCGATCGATTTCATGTAAGAAATTGAGGAAATAGAAACTACGTGAAGGTGTGATATAACAATATTGAAGTAGGTGGTCCTTCGATAAATATAGTCATTGTTCATGACAATCCCAAGCCTCAACGTTTTTGTAGGAAAAATTCTATGAACAATAAATTACCAGCAATCAACGTCGAATATAAATGAACATGATATTTCCATAAAATAAATCTATCAGTCTACATATTTTTTCCATTTGTGGAAGAACTCAATGCATTGGCGTAATCTTCAATAAACTAACCTGAAGCTGGTTTGTCAGTAATTTGGCATTAACTGGGCATATATGAATGTTGTTTGTAGAGAATATTTTTGTATCATTCCACAGAAAGTGAATTAATTCATTTATTGGTTAACAAACTTAACAACAAAAAATCGACAAGTTCAAACGATATTCTGATGTTTATATTGAAGATAATTCTTTCTTTTTGATACAACCACTAACATATTTGATCAATATGTATAACAATAGGTGTACCACAAGGCTCCATATTGGGTCCTGTTTTGTTCATTGTCTATGAAGACAGTAGTTACACAGACTATGCTGTCGATTTTTCATTGCCTCTGCACCTGATACTACAATTTTAGAAAATAAATGTTCAACCATCCAGTTTTTTCAATGGATACGATTTATTTTTCAACACAAATAAAACACGGGTTATTCGTATCCACAATCGCCAGAAAAAATTGAAAATTTCCAGTTCAATATAAGTAACAAGTCTTTGAAAAGTGATGGTAGTAGCGTTAAGTTTTTAGGTGTTAATTTGGATGAATTCCTGAATTGGAATAATCATTGCTATTATCTGGTATCTAAACTCAATTCCCTGAGGTTTCTTTTTATTAATTTGAGATTGGTATTGACTAGAGCTCAGTTTTTCAGTATCTACTATGCTCGAGTAAACTCTAGAATTAGGAGAGGAGAGGATCAACTTCAGCGGAAAATGTATTTCTTGCACAAAAGCGCGAATATTTTCCAAAGAGACTTTTGTAGACACTATTTCAAAAAATATAATATTTCAACTCTTGCATCAGCCTATCTATTTGAAATGTTTGTATATGTGTTTGAAAATAAGTCGAATTTTACATTAAATAATGGTTTTCAACATCACGATACGAGAATTAAAAACTAGTTCTATGTGCCAATTGTGGAATTGAAAGTCACTTATTCTGGGCCAGAATATATTTTTCCAAAAATTTACAATATCTTCCTGAACATGTGAAAGCTTCAGATCAACTTTAAAATTTTAAAAAAAGCATATCTGTTAGAAAGTTGTTATTATATACTGGCAGAATATTTTAATAATTCTTAGGTCTGAACCTATTTTACTATCGCCTCATTCAATTTTGATAATTAACTATTAGTATCTTTATTTTATTGTGTTGACAGTTTCCTATACAACTTTATATCGTCTCTATGGAAATAAAGTATCATTATTATTAGTTCCACAAAGCTAAGCTAATAAAAAAAATCTGATGTTCTTCAAATTTCACGACTAGTAAACACGGTGTCCTTTACAACAAATCCTGTAACTTTGAACTGCAAGATCAATCTTGCGTAACACTGCAATAAATTACACATTTTTATGTGTACCTTGTGGATTTTCAAATCAATTCTCTAGTAGCGCGTATCAACTGTGACCTTGTCACGGCAGGACAAAAACTTGACACAATTATCCGAACTTGAATAATAAATCCGCGACAGTAAATTTTATTCTTTTCCTTTTACCCCGAATTCTTCGGAAGGATGTAATTGCGCTGCAAGTCCGCACAATGGAGCGAAACCACTTTGTCAGGCTTTTATGATGTCAAAAGTCAATTTTCACCCTCCATTTGTCGGGAAGAACCAGATTCAACAGTTAAGCTCTAAAAATATGGAAGGCTTCATCCAGAAAAGTATCCTTAATGTAATGATCCCGTCTAGTTCTCAGCATTTGGAAAAATTGTTTTAGAGCTCTATTTTTATCCTTTGCTTCTTAAGAGCATAACTTTTCTCGAAATACGGCAAAGAGAACGGGAGAGTATACAGTGCAAATAAACAAATAGTTTTTTTATTGTAAGTCACTGTTTGTAATCACGTCATCACTGCGTTTCAAAGACACATCCCTTTTTTTATAATTTAGTGAAAACCTTGTAATTTTGGAATTACTGCTCGCCCCATTTCAATTGGAAGCAAATTGTGATACATTCTCGGAATCAGTTCAGCACAAAACGGTAGAAATTAAAGAAAAAATTGGGGTGGTCTGGTGAAAAACAGATATCACTATTTGAAATGTGACTAAAATAACAATTGATTTGTGCAATAGTTTATGGGCTCACTTTAGGTATATGATAACTTTCTATGTGTTATTTCGGAAAAAATCTATCCCAAACATTTAAACACGTCGACTTTGAAAATTTTTACAAAAAAAAACCTTCATTATGAAAATTCTAACTAATATTCTCCACAACAATACCTACTCTTTTAAGAAAAAATTTTCTATGAATATTCATTGCTAGTTTTACGTTCAGCGTTCATATTTTGGAAGGAAACATTATTTTTGTGTAAGTCAATGTTTGTAGATATCCATGTAAAACGAATCAATTTTCAATTAGTTCTTATTGGATTGTATCTTCTGTTTTTGGAAACTTCCCGTCTTCTGAATATCATTTATTTTGAGTTGAAACTGATCGACTTTCAACCGACTTTCAACAACATTAAAAAAAATATTCTCCACTGCGTGTAATTTCACAGAAGCAAATTCAATTAACAAATATTGTTTTTATTCGAACAGAATTGCTCATCCACTGACCAATTCTCATTCAAATCTTTTTCTGATAACTCAATACACTCACCAGCATTTTTAATATAAATAAAGTGAAATAAAGAATAGTTTTATCATCCAAGATGCAGCGTTATGTAAATTTCCAATGTTATATTAAAAAAAAAACTGAAAATCCCCTGACAAAAAAAACAACTTACCGTCATCGCCATTTTGTTGTTCTGCGTGCTTTTGAGTTGGCTTGTCATCTACCACAATTTCAGGTTCTACACTAGAGTCTAGAAACAAAACAGAAACATGCTAGTAATAATCGTGCAAAATAAAAACTGATGAAGCAAGAAAAAAAGCTAAACCAACTATTACTGACAATCCTAAACCAGGAAAAATGGTTCGGAAAATGAATAAAAAAAACTTCAACTACTTTCCAGACTACTTCCCGACGGGTATTGACATTCATGCATTCCAATAACTCAATACTAACCATTGGCACGTTGGCGAGCCTCATCCAGTACAGTCTGCTTCGTTTGCTTTACCACCAAAGTTTCGAATCGAGCATCATCAACAAGAGAACGTCTTCTGGCGGGATATCCGTTCTGAAAAAGCAAAATACCGTTAAAATCTGATCTCGCTTTTGTCTCCAACAGAAGGAAATGGGGAAATGCTGGGAAATTAGCTTCCTGGAGTTCTACGGATAAGGAAAGATGAAGTTCTCATTCTGAGACGCGAATTTATTATTTCGGTCATGAATTGATTTGATTTTCTGTTAGTGCGGGACTATTTTATATCATCAGTTCATTTTATCGCCCTCTAATAAAGTTCTGTTTCTGAGAATATGAACAGAACGATTGAATGAATAATTACTTTTTTGTGATTATTTTGAAATTCTCAATAAAGAATTCCACTTTTCTGTAGGTCAACCTTCTCAAAAATTTGCCATTCAAATTAAATTTGAATTACAATTACAAAATTTTGGACGAAAAACAATCTTGAGACCAGTTTTGTAGAGTTAAAAAAGTTTTTGTAGAACGGTTGTTTTTGATGCAGAAAATAGTAAAAGACTTTTTCGTATCGACTTTTATAATGAATACAGTATTTCATTTTGTCGTTGTATTGATATAGTTCTTGGGATGAAGCGTTTTTCAACGTTTTACTTTCAATAAAAAATATTTCTTGCAAAATTTCAGGGATTTTTCTTCATGCGAACTGAAAAACCAGTAGAAAATTCAGCTGACTGCAATTTCATGAACAGAGGAGCTTCTCGAGTGACTAATAGGAAAGTACAGAGCACCTAATTTGAAGCCTATTGACAACGGTGTTTCACAAGGATCTGTGTTGGGGCCTTTCTTTCATAATTTTAATCAATGCTCCATAAATATGTATTATGCAGTGGCCATATCTATGTTTTATGTTAGTTGAATTCTAGTGGATGACTATCTTTTATTCGTTGTATAATCTATACATATACATGGTCATATACCTTCCTTTCGATAGCCCTAAGCTGTTGCATATTGCATCTGACGATATGATATTGTTAATTATATTTGTGGTAATTGATATGAACGTAACTTTCAAATTTGGCATCTTGTTCTAATCTGGTCGAATTATTTTTTGACTTTTTGGATTGATGACAAGAAACTTTTAAAGGTTAGATACCATAGGCGCAATTTGGAATGATAAAGGGTCTCTGAAGAGACAGCTTAAGAGAATTAGAGCTTGTTGCGTGACATGTAAGGAAGTATTTAGCCGCGAACAAATTAAATTGCATAATATTCAAAATATTCAAATTTTCACAAGGATCTTGGCATTCCATTAACTTAATTGATGTTTATATCTTCAAAAGTAGTTCAATAACGTAACCCAAACCTTGAAAACACCGTTAAATCAAACCAATATGAATTGTTAATACTGGAGAAACATTTCCATTCCGAAATGCAAATCTGTCGTGAAAGATCTCTCCAATTAAAATCGTATCAGTCTTAATTGTGCGCATTATGCGTAGTGGCGATAATTAACGTATCAAAAAAAATAGTGCGATGAAGGTTTCCGGGGGCTCCGTTTCCAGTTGTCAGTCGTGGGGCGAGTGTTATGGCAACTATCACGTTTACAAAGGTGCCCCTTGAGCAAGGTCACGGTACATTTACAAGGCTTGAGGCTTTCTCCATAGTGGCGTTCACTGGCCGTGATCTTACCCGCTGCAAAATTTGCATAAATAGACATGTACTTTTTGTACAGCACGTTTTCAAGAAATTTCCAGTTCATTACTGAAATCCGGAAATGTATCGGTTATGAAATCTCAAGCGTTATTTTCCAAGCATAATTATATACCTCCTTGAATTGAAAATACCTTTGTTTGAAGGTGATTGACAAATACCTCTTCGGAGTTTTTGGATAGAACTAGGATCTTGCGATAGCTCATTTCGAAGGGTTTCTAGTAGGCATGATGACATCTGGAAATTACTGGTGAATGACCCAGGAACTGAAGGAATATGGAATACTTCCTCAACAATTAAAACTAGCTCTCATAACACCAAAATACAAAAAAGGGGATTGCGACTTGTTTGAAAATCATAGGCCCATAAATGTTTTGCCATCGTTTTGTAAACTTTTTGAAATGGCGATGTGTGATAGATTAATTAACTTTATGAAACATTGAAATCTCTTAAATCCAACTCAACACGGATATATTAAAGGAAGATTAATTGACACATCAATCATACAGTTTACTGAAAACATTATCGAGTCATTTGAAAATAACGAAATACTCCGTGGAATATTCTTAGACCTTTCTAAAGCATATGACTACCTTAATCACACGTAATTATTGGAAAAACTTGGAAAATATTGAAGTAGAGGGACTGTATTGAAATGGTTCGAGTAATATTTATCAAATCGTCAACAAAGAACGAAAATTATAAAAAATGAACAGATATTTAAGTCTGATATCAAGGAAAATACTATAGGCATTCCACAGGGAAGTCTAACAGGTCCTATTCTATTTTGGTTTGATGATAATGAATAATTCAGTTGATGATGATGAATAATACAGTTAGTTTGCATTTATTTTTTGCTCTGCTCTAGTTTACGAAAGGATCAGAAACAGACCACTTCTCTAGTTAATTCCCTGTCACTATACATGTATTGGATTATTGTAGGCATCTTAATTACACCGCAACAACAGATACCTCACCAGTCAGGGGCATCCATAAAAATAAAAAACTCGATTGAATATAACATTTCAACACAACTCGTAACTGCAACATTCACCTTGAGATTGTATTCTCTTGGTTAGATTGCGAAACTAAAGTGCTTGCTACAGTTTCAGTGTAAGCGATACATTTTTTTTTCAATATGCAGCTGGTCTATCAAGATACGTATCTAGCTAGGTATCATTGTAGAGTGGTTGTTTTACAGCCGTTGTTCACCTGTTTACTTACATATGTTTTCTCGCCCAATTTGACGGTTATGGTAAGTTTTGTTGTTAATGAATCATGAAATTGTTGCAGTTTTTGTGATTCGATATTGACTGGAGAATTAGGTATTCAAAGAGTTTGCATCTCATGAATACCAAGAAACTTGGTAATTTCTATTCAACTGAAATCAATGGTGTGATTACCATTGAAAACATTAAAGAAACAGATATGCCTCAACAAAAAGTAGTCTAGCGACTTTAAAGTCAAACATTTTTGGATGAGAGACTTTTCAGAAGTCGGAAAAGTAATGGCAATTCATACTGAATTAATTGGTTTCAATTTTCAGTTGTTCCATGGAGAAATTAATTCCCTTCCGGTCCGTGTACGACAAGAGAATGTGACTGGTATTGATTTTAACTTCATCAAATGAACCATAGTGCATGTGTCATTCGAATATTTCCCTCAAATTACATCCCATCATGAAATTTTTCTCTATATTGTGCTCAATTTCAATAAAAAGACTTTCGTAATTGATTCTTTAGTGACTTCACGATGTTTTATTTTTCCAAATATACGGAGGAAAAGTCAGTAATAGAAATTTTGGATTTTCTACAGTATGAATCAGAAATTATGTGACAAATATTGAACTTTTTCGATATATGAATTTTAAAAAATCTCATATTTGCTCAGGATCCAGAGAAATACCTCTGTAGGAAGTCAAGTGAGTAACAGGGTAGCTAGAAGAAAAACTTTATTTGCTGAAAATTTTTACCATCTAATTTCAAAAATGAAATTCATAAATATTTATATTTATTTCAAGTAAATTCATATCATAGATTTTGTCAAAAATTATATAAGTTTATGGCTTTTACTTCTTCATTTTACATACTAAGTGAAAATTGGAAAAAGAAATTGGTTAATGATAAAAAAACGTCACAGATTATTTTTGTAGGGTGCTTTTTGAGGCATTCGATCAATGATTTTTTTAATACACCTCCACTGATACTATTATAAGTTTCTTTACCGTGTGACGAAAATATCACAAATTTATATAAGTTAGCCTGAACGTTGGCATGCTAGATTATTTTCTTTTTTTCACAGAAATATAATGACAACAGAATAAACAATTCATAGGTGAAATTCGTTAAATATTTTTAGTAATTCATTCATATTTTGATTGACGGGATTTTTGTATTCTGTATTTTGCCAATTTTTGACAGTGACTTCGAGTTGATATCAATATCACTTGAAAAATATAAAATTATCAACAGATAAACCTGTAGAAGACTTGAAAACAATTCAATGGATTCCATAAGTTATTCTCTAGATTCTCAATAACAATTTTTTCTAATAAATTAGAGAATGTCAAAATTTTTATTGTTTTGAGTTTGAAATTTTTATCCAAAGAAAAATTGTTGCTGAAATAAGCTGAACAGAAACATACATGATTATCAACACTGAAATAATATGGATTTTATATTTTACTCTTTTTGAAAATATCAACATTGAAAGAAGAATTTCCAGATAATTTAAAAAAACTCCAGATTTTTTATCCTTGATCGTTTATTACTGAAGACTTCTCAAAAATAAAGGAAATACGTAATTGTGAGAATAATAATAAAAGAAATAATTGAAGATTTTGAAATGAAACAATAATAATTTTAACAGTATTCTGGTTGAGGAAATTTGCAAAAATTCTTGACAATTTGAAATCTTATCGAAATAAATAGAAATATTTTCTAAAATTGACTCATCAGTTCTTTGGTGATTGATTATGTTGATAACAAAACAATAAAATTTTAAAATTAGCATAAAGATTCATTCATAATGACTGAACTTATTTCAAAAATTTTGACTTGAAAACAATTAAATTGGTTGCATAAGTTATTCCTCAGATTCTCAATAACAACTGTCACTGAATAAATTAGAGAATATCAATCTTTTTATTGTTTTGAGTTTGAAAAAAATAGAATTTTATCCAAAGAAAAATTGTTGCTGAAATAACCTGAACAAAAACATACATGATTATCAACCCTGAAATAATATCAATTTTATATTTTACTCTTTTTGAAAATATCAACATTGAAAGAAGAATTTCGAGATAATTTAAAAAACTCCAAATTTGAAATCAATATGAATATTTTCTAAAATTGACTCATTGGTTTTTTGATGATTGATTATGTCGATGACGAGATAATAAAATTTTAAAATTAGCAAAAAGATTTATTTATAATGACTGAAACTTATTCAAATAATTTTGACTTTCATTTCATCATATTGAGTGAGAAAAACTGGTCAGAAACACAAAAAACCAAAAGCACTCACCTCTATGCTGTAAGATTTCTTGATAGCGAACATTTCGCGATTTTTCTGAGCTGCTGCTACTGCTGCCATCTTATCGAAAATTCGGAGATTTCAACGGGTGGTAAGAACTCGCAAAAAGTTGTAATTACAGCCTGAAAACACTGAAGTATTCACTGCTGAAGACGCGTGTGTTGGCAAAAACCGATTTGTGTTTCGACCACGATCAAAAAGATGAACCGTCTGTCGAAAAAATAGGCTGTTGAGCGCCTTGTTAGCGAGAAGCAAACTTGAATGTGATTTTGGAGCGCGGGACTACATTATATGTAGTTTAGCCCCCACGCGGCATCCCTTTCATTCTGCCCGCGAAAAAACCTCACGCCTGCGTCACGTTCTGGGTGACTCCGGAATCCCCGGATTACAAGGTCCCCGATTGGGAATAGCCGAAGGGTAATTAATTCTTCGCGGTACCACATCGAGGTACCACTACTAGCGATGCTGGTCAGTTCGATAACGGTCTGTCAAAGTGTATCGATGGAATTTCGGAAATCGTGAGTCAGCTGTGTATTTCCTGCGTTGGCGAGTTTATTTTTATATCGATAGTGTTGTCACCAGACCGTTGTTGTAATAGTGCACTGAAATCTGCCCGAATTTTGAAAATGACTTTTCTTCAAACTTCACATAGGGTCGATCGGGGCTAATATGCTACAAAAATATACACTTTTCACTATAATACCTAACCATATACATTAAGCCATTTTGAAAAAATACTGGGATATATAATTCGTATTGGTAAGTTTATTTATGGGTGCACAAAAAATGTAGTTGCAGTACCAATGCTGAAAAAAAAACCCTGTGTATCATAATAACCCCACCTGCTGGGGCTAATTTCATACGATGATGGGGCTTAAGTGATACAGCATTGTATTTCATTCAATATCGTCAATGAGGATACTGAAATGATACAGGTCTGGGGCTAATGTGATACCAGTAATTTATTCGAATTTTAGTCTTCAGCCATATAAAAGATACAACCGTGTCTTGTTCATGTTTTTTCCACTAAAAAAAACTTTGGAAAAAATAACTAAAGCACCGTTTATTGAAAAACCTTAACATTTTCAACATTCCATAATTTTGGAAATATTTTTTTTGTACCTATGTAAAACTTTGACAATAGAGTTTATGTCCTGAATTGGAGGGGTTATATTTTTAGGAGTGATTAATTTTTGGGAAAGAAAGTTTTTGGCTTCCTAATACTCCATCTTGATACAAAAAAAGGATGAGGGAATCTTCCAAAAAAAGGAAGGAACTAATTAATTTGAAAATAAGTAACTGTTTCTATAGAATGTCGCGGTAATAAGAAATTATGTGCATTTCTTAATTTTCAATTTTTCCGACAGGAAGAGTATCCAAAAAAGAATCCATATACGAGTATGAATCGACTTTCATCTACAGAAAATTAGTTAGAAGTAATGAAGGTTATCCTTCTGGCAAGTAACTGATTAATGTTTTCATCCCGATGAAAATGAACTTGAATTTCGAGTTGATAAAAGCGACAATTCACAAGCTAGCTTATGGTTTGAACTCATTTTTTTCCAAATGAATCTTCAATTCACGAATCCAATTCATTTTCCGTGCCAATTTCATTCAATTCATGAAACTAGTGAATTTTTCCAAGGGTTGTTTTACGAGGATTTGTTGTAGTAATGAGAAACAATACAATTTTCAACTGCCCAAGGTTTGCCTACGTTCATTAACTCACACTGGGGCTCAAAAATTATCATAATAAATCTTAGGACACATAAGACTCGTGATATTCGAGAATTTTTTCTCCGTTAATAATTTGGAAATCATGTGATTCTATGACAGATCGGCTGAGAAGGTTTTTTTAAATTTGTTTATCTGTTTTATGATTTCATATTTGTTTTGATCATAATTTCAATTGAATTGCATTTTCTTTTCTTGCATCGATAACATTATTGCCCAATTAATACAATTTCCAAAGTTAAATTGATAACTGTCATTGAATTACTTCAATTGAAAACAAAAACTCTCATTATTATTGTCATTATATACTACAAAAAAAAACAAATAGATAAATAATTGTTACATTCCTCTTCAAAGTGAAATATAATCAATTATTTCATTCAGTATATTGAGGAAATTTTAATAGAAGAAGATATTGACGAATGAAAGTAATTTAAGTTATTTTTACGGTATTTTTGGACCAAAAATAGATATATTGTGACTCAGACCAAAATTGGTCTCATTTCTGAATTTCCAAAATAAAATTGATCATCACGAAAAAAAAAGGATATTCACCCCCTCAATATACATATTTATGATTTTTTCATTGTTGAAAATGAATACATTTCATTCTATTTATAGCTGTAGGTATAATAATTTGTTTCATTGTCTTGTATAATTTCAAATGTGTATAGACATAATTTAATTTCAGAAACCAATGTAATTTGGTTGTGTACCCCTTAGAGGTTGAAAAATCATCAGAAAAGTGAAAGGGATTTTCATGTTTCAAGACAAAAAAAAAACAAACGTAATTTTCATAACAAACATATTCTGAATATTTTTGGATCTGTATTATATCCGACAGTATATAATCCAACGCCCTTCGAGGTATTAGCCAGGGGAGTAGTTGTTTTCTGATAGGTGTCAGTCCATTAACCTACTTCAATTTATTTATGGAAAGTGATGCATTATATGATGTTTTCAAAAGATGTTTTACAGCTATTCATTGTATTTCACTTCACTGGGTTTTTTAGGTCTCAATAAAGGATGTATCGTAAGTGACGACTCAAATTTTAAGAAAACGTTATCATGAATGTATTCTTTGATTTGCTTTGTTTTCGAAAATTGAAATTATGAAGTTTCGATGAAACTATGCCAAAATTTTCAAGCCATTCATTCATAAAGTGCGGTTTTGAATGATTCAATTTGATGTGATTAGATTTAAAGTAGCATTTCCCTTGGTAGGGGAGCTGGTCATTTACAGTAAAATCACTGTATATGACTAGTTTTCAGTGAGTTAGTAAATCTATTATCATCACCATCCATATTTCTTGAAACAAAGTGACATTTTGTGGTGGAGGATAATTACAGTAAAGCAAGATAATTTATTATTGATGTGTTCGGTATACGGTGCATTGGTTCACAAGCAAAAATGGTTTGATGGGTGAGATCAAAAATGGAATAATACCAAGTATGTTGTTTTCAAATATATCTTAAATGGTCAGTTATATTCCTGATATGTTGTACCCTTGAAACTGCAAGTTTTTTGTGATTCAACCAGCCTTGTGGAATTTACTGTTTGCGAAATAGCAATAGCGATTTAAGCTAAAAAAACGTTTATCGATGGTCTGATGGTAAGTAAGGAATATAGTGTGACAGTGACCTTGAAGAAATAATTGCGATTTTCCTCACGAATACGCATTTTTTTAATGCAAATTTTCTAACATCTTTCGCAATTCTCGATTCGAGCGAAGTTTTTGTCTGAGCTGAGTCAAATGACCAGATACTAAATTAAACTTCACTTTTACAACTGTCTAGATTTTTTTTCGAATTACCTGATTATAGAGTAAGTTTCAGGTTTTCAAAATTCATTGGGAAGTATTTTCGAAGATATTAAAATATATTCAAATATTACTTCTTACTCACAAACATTATTCTTCATTCTATAGTCATATCATATCTGAAATTAGTTTTTGGTTGAGTCAACAATTGAATCAATAACTTTTGTAATTATACAAGCCAGTATCATAATTTTTAATGATCATCTATTCATATCTTGAGATTTTCACTGATTTGGATATTTTTTCGTATTGTAACATTTATATTTTCAGATGTAGGTACCTATTTTTGGATAATCATCCGCTCAGGGAACTACAGTTGTCAATCATATAACGTAGAAGAATCAATCCAATCATCTGCTTGAAGGTAGATTCGAACTCAGGACCGCAAAGAAGTTGTGTCAATTCCCGGGTATTTCCATTATTTTCCGATACGGTAGAAAAAAACCGTCGTCATCATTTAGTTCTTGTTGTGAAAAACAATCGTTTACTTTAATGAAGTACCTAATAAAAAAAAAAAAAATTACTTTCAGTTAATTTCCGATTTCTATAGACGATACGAAGATATATATTTTCAAATTGAAAGAGATGTATTTTTAGGAGACATTAATCTTTGAGAAAGAAAGGATTTAGCTTTCTTCTTCGTTTTTGCACAAGAAAAGTGGAAATATTCCAAAGAAAGAAAGAAAACAAATAATTCCATTTTGGAACTCCTTGCTTTCTTTGGAGGAATCCCATATTTTTTTATATGAAAATGGAGAAGTAAAAAGCCTTTATTTAGAAGATTTTCACATTTTTTTTGCATAAAGATGGATGAATAGAAATCCAAAACCGTTCTTTCCCAGATATTTTTTATATTATATAATTTTTGAATCTTCCCCGTCTCGTTCCTTATTTTTTTCCTTCTAGAAACCAGTTGTCTCAGTAGTCGCAAATTATGGGACTGAGAATTAGCAAGGTCTTATTCTTCAGCGTGCGATTCGTAGTATGGAATCTTAAACGCTTAAATTTCGTAACACGTTGAAACAAAATTTTTTATAGTATATCAAAGGTTTAGGCGATGTTTAGATTGGATAGAAATTGTAATTTTTCGAAATTATGATTATACAAATATACATTGACAATATAGTATTGTGTTTATATGAAATACTACAAAATCAAACAATTGGATAAGTTTTCATATCATAGCCGTTATACATATTTTATTGGTGAGAGAGATGAACATGAAATGGGTTTGTATGATAAACATTGACGACGAAAGAATAAATAAGAGTCATCAATAAAATATGCGATAAAAGATAAAACACATACTTTTAGATAGTATCCTTTTCTTTTGCTAGTGAAAAAATACGATAAACCAGTTGACATTTGCGTTTAGTCAGGGATACTAACTTTCACTCGGTACATTAGATAGAGATAGCTATATAAAAGTGAGTCGTCTACAAGTTTTTATATTTTCAGAACAATTGATTACGTACTACTATGGGTTGACTACTATAGGTTTCATTGTTGACATGTTGTTTATTGAAAAGTTTATACGGTTTCAATCATTTTATACTAAACATGAATTATTGTTAAAAATAAATAAAAGCACACCGTTTCATTTTTATTTGTGTATAGAATCAAGTTATGAAGACACTGATATCACTATATATTATCGAATTATTATTTTATCTCGATTTACTGTGCAGTTTTTATTCAACTCACATTTTTAACATTAATTTTGAATGTTCCACATATATGGTCTGTATTATACATTTATGAATTACTTTTATTTTATATATACTGTTCAGTATATTACATTGCTTTATGAAATAAAAACAATAACCTCACTCATGTGTTTTATTTTAGCTTTATCATTATTTTTCTGTGAAAATGTGAAGGGTTCCCACTTTCGTTGAATTTTGCTTTGATTTCACGAATATTCACAAAATGAAAGTGCAAAGCCATTATAATTATATTAGAATTCTGATGTGAAATTCACTTTTGCCATAAATGAATTGCTCAGTCGAAAAACTGAATCTGAAAATTTGAAATTTACAAAAATGTGCCATATGTAGCACCGGTAGCATTGATGGAAATATCGTCTGCAGTACGTTTTATATCAACTTTTCATACATTTACTTATTATTCATGTTTGTTTCAGATAAGAATTATAAAAATACTTTTATAATTCAAGTTCTGTTAAATTGGACAAAAATTTCATATTTTGAGGAACTAGAATACTCTGAATTGAAGGAGTTATATTTTTAGGAGTGATTAATTTTTGGGAAAGAAAGTTTTTGGCTTTCTACTACTCCATATTGATTCAAAAAAGAAGGGATGAGGGAATCTTCCAAAGAAAGGAAGGAAGTAATCAATTTGACAGAGACCTTCTTTCTTTGCATGATCTACACATCCATGTATAGAGTTACTTATTTCCAAATTGATAACTTCCTTCCTCTCTTTGGAAGATTCCCTTATCCCTTTTTTTGTATCAAGATGGAGTAGTAGAAAGCCAAAAACTTTCTTTCCCATAGAATACTCTCTTTTCAGATCGAGATGATCAGTGTTTGTTTTTGAAATATTCGCCAAAACCTAGGATTGACGAATTTCGTTTTTTAACTCTACCGCCTCTCTTTCGAATGATAAAAAAAAATGCAAAGGATCTTTCTATACTGTTTCATATTTGTTATAATCTGATGTAAGCCAATTTGCAATTCGAAGTTTCGTCAATAAGATTTCACTTGTGATGTACTGTTCGGAAACTTTGGTGTAGTAATAAATATTTCTGGAGTTTTTTCCCAATACCAACCCGTTATTTTAACACCTCGACACGTGTTTATATCACCAAGAGGAAGATCAAGTTTGATCTTTAAAGATATTTGATCAAGTTCTTTTAAAATATTAGTTTTGATTCCTCATACACTACTTCCATTGTAAATTTGTGATTCACCAAATAAATTTACTGTAGCCAAAGAATTGAAATATATGAGACACAAAACAGGTCCAAGGATTGATCCTTGCGGTACCCACATATTATATTTTTTCGAACTAATTGTGTCGCCAATATAGACATGTTGCTTTCTGTTCACTAAACAATTCTGAAACAATATATTGAGTACGTACTGTCTGACAATTTTTATACATGTGAATTTCGAAAGGAAAATGAAGACATTGAAATTGTTCAATGATGTATTATAACACGCTTTAGATTTGCGAGGGGTGATTGCGGTGTTAGGGAGTGTTAATTTGCAATCTCCGACAAGGTCTAGCAGCGGAATTTGAACATTTTGGAGATATCACTGCTTGCAACCTCTGAATCTTACACTGTGTGTAACTTCGGTATTTCCGGTAATTATATAACAATTATTCTTTCGTTACTACAGTCCCTCTTGTCGAATTCTCTGCTGCAACCTAACCAGACCTTTTGTACGGAATAAACCGCGCCTCAGGAGTGGAAAACCAAGCCGTACTTCTTTTTTTAATACGAGACGTATTATACTCGGGCTTTGCTTTGACTGCTATATGATTGAAGATAATTGAGAACTGGGAATTCCCAAGAACTAGACTAAGTTTCTCCAGGAATCGTTCCACTCTTTCAGAGCTTCTTAAGAAAGAAAAATTATTGCTCGATGTCAACGACACTCGCGATGTGTTACCTACTTTTACCATGTGTTACCTTGATTTTTATGAAGAATCGAGGAGCTATGTCAACACAGAAAAATGTGGGAATTCATAGCTGTATTTTGATACTACATGTCCCAGATGAGGAAGGCCGGTATAGGAAAATCGGAAACCGTTGGAGATACAAAGTCGGTTGAATTGAGGATTCAAAGAGGAAGTTTTAATCTTCCTCTTTGAAGATGATCACTTAATCAAAATTTTCAATTTTGAAGTTCACTTGAGAACAGTTATCGGCATGAATACACGAGGAGAAAATAAAGAAATGGGTCAATGGTGAAATTGGTCACCGAATTGTGCACTTTAGAAGATTTTCTCTCTCATTCATCCAAAGCCATAATAGAAACGATAAGTAAGAAATTTGATGCAGAATTGAAGATGTTGAAAGAAGAGAATGCTGAACTGAAAGGGCAGATGAGGCAGAAGCAAGAAAAATGTGAACAAATTATGAGAAGTAAGAATATTAGACTCAATGGTTTAGCGGAAAATGTGAATGAGGATAGTTTAAAATGTTGTTTGGAAGTTTTCAATCAGAAAATGAACCTAAAAATAAAAAGTTCTGACGTTCAGGAGTGTTCTCGAATAAGTAAATATGATCTTCAGAATACTCGTCCGTTATTTATTCGTTTTACCACGAATTATTATAAAAATATTGTATATAAGAATAAGAATAATCTGAAGAATACTGGTATCACGGTTAGAGAAGACTTAACGCCTGCTCAAAAATACATTTCTCGTCAAACTTCCTAAGGAAACTTGTAACCTGTAATGTATATCTTTACGCTGACGACACTCAATTTTATCATAGTTTTTATCCAGAAGATGTCAAAGAAGCCTGCACAATTGCATTTTGCAAATACTGTTTATGGGCCGAACCTGACAAGTTACTATAAACAAAAAATTCAGAAAGTCCAGACTTATTGTTTGAGATATATGGAACAAGAAGAAGCAGAATATCTCACAAGCTGAAGGAAGTAGGATGGCTAAATATGGAGAATAGGAGAAAACTACATGCTGCATGCCTCTATCGCAAGATTCTCTCATATAAAATCCCTTCTCACCTGCATTGGAAAGTGACGTCTCGAACCGATGTTCATATGATTAACATCAGGTTCAAAGGCTCTTTAACACCTCCCATTTTCAAAACCCAGTTATTCAAATGCTCCTTCAGTTACCAAATAGCTAAAGTACTCAATGCTATTCCTGAACTTTTCAAAAAACTGCCACTCTCCCAGTTTAAAATCAAATTCAAATTATATTTTTTTCAAAATCAATAGCATGATGAACGGTTTGCCATTCCTCTTTTCTATCTTCTTTTATGATATGATATGCTACTTTAATACCTATGCAGAGACTTTTTTCAGGTCAAGCGGAAAAAACAATTTAGCAGTTATTTGCATAGCTGCGAAAATTGAACGTCGCCTTTTACTATAACTTCATATATGTAGTTAGAACTTAATATTGTTTTTTTTTTGTGTGGTTGTAGTAATAAAGACGAATATTTTATTATTATTATTATTATCATACATCATTTGGTCAAGTGTGAATAGGTGTGAACCACAATAAACCCTTGCGGGTTGCCGTGGAGAATCGAATAGACCCACTCACTTTGGACCTTACCTAACCTAACTTTGACTCAAATATCAATAAACCGCCCCCAAGAAAACCATCAACACTTCCAATGTGGGTTTCCTTTTCCAGAAAAAGATTTTGATCGGGTGGAGCAGCCTTCTGAAAATGCCTGACATAAACTTGTAATGTGCCTGTCTTGTCACATCTTTCCAACAGTTTATCCGTTGTTAGGCCAAATTTTGTCCAGATAATTAATATTTCCAGTCTTTTGTCTGCCTTAATTTATGTCTCCTCCAGCATATCATTTTAGATTAAGAACGATTTTATGTTTTGTTTTTCCCAGATGAAATTCAATTCCTCAAAAAGTTTTCCACAATTCATTTCCACCTATCGTTGGTTCCTACTATTTTGTCGTGAGTCGGTATTTCTTATTCGAAATGAAATGAACGTACCGTTATTCTAATTGTAGATCGGTAGCCAGTCGTTTCGACGTGTGTGCTTTGTTCACTCATTCAATCGACCGCTGTGTGAGTCGGTGTTTCAAGCCGCAGGCTAATCGATCGATATTTACATGGTATCGTCCAACCCGTATTGGAAATCACACGTTAGAAGGTAAGACCTCGTCAATCCTCAGCTCGCAGAACTTTATACTTCTGAGGATTTTCATTCGTAGGGAATGTGACAGCTGGTTGACAGAAAAATATATTTTAAAATATTTTTTTTTAATTGGAAATTTGTAGAATTAAAACAGGCACAGTGTTCTGCCTTAAGATGATTTTGGTGATTTTACAGCTTCAAATTTCTCTTATTCTCAATTTTAGACATCGTTCACAAAATTCGATGAGTCACGTATAGGGGTTTTCAACAGGGACTTCGCACTTTGACAATTGATAACGATCATTTTGTTGAAGCTACATCTGTCAAATTAGTTGTCATTTATTCAGGTTGTTTTGCCAAATCACCATGGACGGATATAGCATTTTACGGTCGCCATAATCGTCCTACTTGAAGTACTATTCCCAATGTGTTGGATAAATTTGAGCCCACTGGTTCAGTAAAGGATCGACCAACACCCGTACGTTGACGAAAGGAAGATCTGCCGCAAACAGCGCCACTGTCTGTGAGAGTGTGCAGGAGAATCCGAAACACCATACAAACTAATCGGCTTCGTTAAGAAGTTGTGTTTATTTGGTCGATTGTGAATAGGTGTGAACCACAATAAACCCTTGCGGGTTGCGGTGGAGGGTCGAATAGACCAACTCACTTCGGACTTAACATAACCTAACCAGCTCTACTATACAACTAAAATGCTTATAGTTTTATAAAACACTAAGATAGTGCAAGATATAAAAAAATGTCTGCTGCTTACTGCTTTGCACGAAGCAAAGTTGCAATCTTCCTGATCGAATAATATTAATAGTATTTACGATTATAAATCCCCAGGATTTCCAGAACTTGGAATGAATCTTGCGTGTTACGAAAGAATATGTTAACAATATTGTTTTTTTCTTCAAAAACCAGTTTTGTGGTTTTGATAGACGACAACTAAACTGTCAATGACGGAAGAACATTCTGAAAAATCATACGTGTCATGTAA